TTCTCTCATGTAAACTATCATATAATTCACAATAAAACATTTTTTTTAAATCTGTTCTTGAAATGGTCTCTAAATTCAAGTGATATATATTCAAGAACATATTTTGGATCTCATAGACTTGTTTTAATTTTCTTCGACTTCAGTCTGATCTTGCACCTGAGCTGTTCCATAATTGGCCCCTGTCCTTGATTTGACTGGAGATATTGAGCTTTTCCACCATCTCTACCCATATATGTAGTCAAAATGATTTATACTCTCGGGGATGTCTATGTGTATAGTTGTTTCTTAAAAGAGGTATTTTGCCTCATTGGTCTTGCAAAACTTTATCATGTGATTTCCAGAATCATTTGTATTACCAAGACCATATTTTCCAACTATTGTCGCTATCTCTTTGTTTCCAACCTTCACTTTCCAATTGCCAGTAATTATCAATACATCTTGATTGCATGTTTGATCAATTTCAGACTGAAGAAGTTGGTAGAATTCTTCAACATCATCACCCCTGGCTCTAATGGTTGGTACATAGAATTGAATATTAGCGGTATTAATTTGTCTTCTTTGTGGGCATATGGATATTATCCTATCACAGACAGCATTGTATTTCAAGATAGATCTTGAAATGTTCTTTTTGATTATGAAAACTAAGACCAGTAAAGTAGGACTATACTTGGCAGAAAACAAGAAATAACTAAGATTAGAGCAGAAATAAATTGACTAGAAAGCAGAAAAACAATAGAATGAATTAACAAGACAAGAAGTTGTTTCTTTGAAAGGATTAATAAAATGGCAAACCACTGGAAAATTTAACTAAAGAGGGAGAAGATGCAAACAACATCCATAAGAAATTATATGGTTGACATCACAGCAGAAACAATGGAAATAAGGATAATAATGGAATACTAAAGAGATTTGTTCTCCAATAAATTTGAAGATCTAGAAGAAATTGAGAATCTTTTTAGAAAAGCACGGCCTACCTAAACTAATATATAGTGAAGTAGAAAACTTGAACAGATCTATAACAAATGAAGAAATTGATCAGGTCATTAAAATACTTCAAATTAAAAAAAGGACTAGGCCCATATGGCTTTACTCATGAATTCTGCTAAATATTCAGAGAAGACCTGATGCCAATTTTACACAAACTATTCCAGGACATAAAAAAGGATGGAAAACTCTTGAATACATTCTATGACGTAAGCATAACCTTCATACTGAAACCAGGCAGGGCATCACTAAAAAAGAAAATTATAGACCAATATCCCCATGAACATAGCTGGAAAAATCCTCAACAAAATTCTAGCAATAGAATTCACTAACATATCAAAATAATAATACATCAAGACCAAGTGAATTCATATCAGGGATGCAGGGTGTAAAAAAAAAAAAAGAGCCACATGAGCATATTGATTGATACAGAAAAGGCATTTGACAAAATTCAACATCCATTCTTGACAAGAACACTAAACAAAGTAGGAATTGAAGAGAAATTCCTCAACATAATTAAGAGCATAAATACAAATCCAACAGCCTCAGTGGAGAGAAACTGAGAGTATTCTTTGTGAGCAGGAACCAAAGATGCCCTTTATCACCACTTCTATTCAATATTGTGTTGGATGTCTTAGCCAGAGCTATAAGGCAAGGAAGGGAAATTAAAGGTATCAAAATTGGAAAAGAAGAAGTAAAACTCTATTTATAGATGATGTGATCCTATACATAAAAAATCCCAAAGACCCTGCATGAAAGTTATTGGAACCCACTGAAAGATTCAACTAAGTGGCAAGGTACAAGATCAGTATACAAAAATCAGATGGATTCCACTATACTAATAAATACAGCTCTGAAAAGAAAAGTAGGAAAACAATACCATTTACAATAACCACTCAAAAGATGAAATACTTAAGAATAACTCTAACCAGAGAAGCGAAGATTTATACAAAGAAAACTACAAGAAATCAAAAGAGACTTACAAAAATGGAAAAATAGATCATGTTCATGGATAGGAAGGCTTAACATTGTGAAAATGTCAATACTGTCCAAAGCAATCTATAGATATAGTGCAATCCCAATCCAGATACCAACATCATTCATTAAAGAGATGGAAAAAATGATCACAAACTTTATATGGAAAGGAAAGAGACCTTGGATAAAAAAAGTACCTCTTAAAAAGAACAAAATTGGAGGTCTCTCTCTCCCTAATCTCAAAATTTATTACACTGCCACAGTGGTCAAAACAGCCTGGTACTGGTACAACAGAAGACACATACATAGATCAATGGACCAGAATCAAGAACCCAGAAGTAGATCCATTCACATACAGTCAACTGATCTTTGATAAAGGGCCAAAAGACATGAAATGGGGAAAGGGAGCTGGCAAAACTGGAAATCCATTTTTCAAAAGAATGAAACAAGACCCATATCTCACACCAAATACAAAAAAAAAAAACCTCAACCTGGATTAAAACCTAGAACTATAAAAATCATCAATGAAAAATAGGGACAAATTAGGGGCTCTAATATATGGCAGTCGCTGGAGAAGGATGTCATGCTGGGTAAGGTGGAGGGTCAGAGAAAAAGAGGAAGATCCCCAACGAGATGGATCAGCCAGGTGGCATCATTGATGGCGTCAAGTGTGGCAGTGGTAGTGAGGTTGGCCCAGGATTGGACATTGTTTTGTTCTGCTGTGCATGGGGTCGTTATGAGTCGGTTCCGACTCGATGGCACCTGACAACAACAATATATGGCATGGAGTCCTGGTGAGCCGCTGTAGGATAAGCACTGGACCTCAAGGTCAGTTTGAACTGCAATATCAGTGGTTCAAACTTACCAGTCATTCCTCAAAAACCCTATACAGGGTTTCTATAAGTCAGAACTGAAAAGTAAATATTAATGTCAAACTTATATATTTGTGAGACATATAAATGTATATACATCCCACTCTTCTTCTCTTACCCATTCAGCCTATGTCTCAATCCATGTATCTACGCACAGAACACTGTTGTTCCAAACTTGTATATATATGACTATGTGCCTCTATCCTCTTTAGCCCCTGCATACCTCCCTGTGTTTACACCTGTCTTCATTATTCTTCTGCCAACCTCCCTCTTCTCATGTATTGCCCTCCCCCTCCTTGTATACTGCCCTTTTTTTTCATCCAAGCTAACATGTGTCTACCCTTTAGCCAGTAAACTGATCTCTCCTCCCTCTCACCTCTGGTAACAATCAAAGAATGTTTCTTTTAGTATGGAAACCTTTCCTTAAGCTTTTGAAACAATGGTGCCATACAATATTTGTCCTTTTGTGATTGACTAATTTCACTCATCATAATGTCCTCCAGACTCATCAATATATGAGGTGTTTTTCAGACTTATCATAATTCATCAAGGTTGCATAGTATTCCACTGTACGCATGTATCAAAGTTTGTTTATCCATTCTTCCAGTGATGGACACTTAGGCTGTCTCCATCTTTTTGCTATTGTGATGAACATCAGTGTGCATATATCTACTCATGTCCTAGGAGTCCTGGGGTGGTGCTGTGGACTAATGGGTCCAACTGCAAAGTTATTTGAACTGCAAGGTTGGTGGTTCAAGCTCACCAGCTGCTCCTTGGAAACCCTACACAGGGTCGCTATGGGTAAGAATCGGCTCAACAACACTTAACAACAACAACAAGAGCATCCTATGAAGTCACAGTGCACCTGCCTGATGTCTGTTTTTCTTCACTCAGGGATTTGTATCTGAGATCCATCAGGTCATGTACATCAGTAATCAAGCCTCACAAGGAGTGGGAGAGTAAAGGAAACTTTTTTACTTGAGCCCATTAAATGGCCTGTGGATTTTTGACATGTGTCTGGCACTTCTGAGGGTCTTCTGCTTTGGAAGGACTTTGGCTCTGTGGGGCTGAAGGAATCAGGGAGAAGCCCAGAGGAAAGCAAGGCTTAGTTCTCCACAGCTTGGACTGTTGGGATGACCAGAGCTTGGGAGGAAGGCAGCCTGGTGTTGAGTGGTTCCAGTTTTCCCACTAGACTAAACTTTTCTGTCTCTACAATTTGATTAGCCTCAAGAGGGAAGGGCAGAACATTTCTCTGGTTTCCTCTTGACTGCATCCCTAGGGTTCCCGTGAACCTGGGAAAACTTGGCTCTTGGGAAGAGAAAGGAAAGAGAGAAAGGAGCAGTTGGACGCCCCTCAGCACTGTTTTCCTGAACATTCACCTAAGCATATATGTGAAGACAATGCTTTTCTTCCGTGTGAGTGGACACTGACCAGTCCTTGTCTTGTGATCATGGGCCCATGCTGACCCAGACTCCAGTAGAACTTTCCATCCATTCTCCTTATCTGGAGGTGAGTATCTTCCCAGGGATTCAGACAAGTGAGCATCTGCCTGGAAGGTCTAGGCTTGTGTGCTTCTAGCATGCAGGCAACAAAACCTTGAGAAGTGGTTCTGGAATAAGCAGAGAGGACCGCTCACCTCTGAGTGTCTCCTGCTCATCAGAAGGCAGATCAGCCCTTCTTTGCCCAACGTAGGTATAGGCTTAGGTCCTGGTATCACCCACAATGCTGCTCATTCCTTTCTCTTGTCTCTTCCTTATATCTGCAGGGAGGGATATTGCAGGTTGACTAGGTAATGCCTTAGTGAAGAATGGATGTGGAGAGAGCTGGTCAAGTGATTCATCTATTCATTCACTGATCTGGTTTTTGATGTGTTGATTGAAGCATTCAACCAATAAAGAGAAAACATAAAGAGCACAGGCTCTGCTCTTAGCATTGGCTATTGGACAGTGGACAAGAAAGGCAAAGTCCCAGCTCTCAAGAAGACAAAAAATGAAACTTACTGCCACTTTGTATACCAACTCATAGCAAGCATATTAGACAAGGTAGATTGTGTTTGGGACCCTGGGAACAGGAAGGGAGTATTGCCTCCACTTTAGTTCTTTGAGTTCAGACACAATGTTCTCGCTCCTTTGTTTTCCAGGTTTCACAAGGAACAAGAACACAGACTAGATGTTGAGGAACTACTCTAGTGCCACTGAATTTTATCTCCTTGGCTTTCCTGGGTCCCAAGAACTACGCCATGTCCTTTTTGCCACCTTCTTGCTCTTCTACTCAGTGGCATTAATGGGAAACTCAGTCATTATCACTATTGTCTGTGTTGATAAGCGTCTGCAGTCTCCCATGTATTTCTTCCTTGGTCACCTATCTTTCCTGGAGATTCTGGTCACAACCATTACTGCACCCATTATGCTCTGGGGTTTGCTGCTCCCTGGGGTGCTGAAAATATCATTGACTGCCTGTATTGCTCAGCTGTTCTTAAACCTTGCTATGGGGACCATCGAGTTCACATTACTGGCAGCGATGGCTGTGGACCGTTATGTGGCTGTCTGTAACCCTTTGAGGTATAACATCATCATGAACAGTCGCACCTGCACCTGGATAGTGATTGTGTCGTGGGTGTTTGGATTCCTTTTTCAGATCTGGCCCGTCTATGCCACGTTTCAGTTTACCTTTTGCAAATCCAATATAGTAGACAATTTTTACTGTGACAGAGGGCAATTAATGAAACTCTCCTGTGATGATACATTGTTCACTGAGTTCATCCTCTTCTTAATGGCTATTTTTGTTCTTTTCGGTTCTTTGATTCTTACGATCATCTCCTACACCTACATCATCTCCACCATCCTCAAGATCCCCTCAGCCTCTGGCAGGAGGAAAGCCTTCTCCACCTGTGCCTCCCACTTCACCTGTGTCATCCTTGGTTACGGCAGCTGCTTGTTCCTCTATGTGAAGCCCAAGCAAACTCAGGCATCTGACTACAATAAGGTTGTTTCCCTGATGGTTGTCGTGGTGACCCCTTTTCTCAACCCTTTCATCTTCACCCTCCGGAATGAAAAAGTCATAGAAGCTCTGCAGGATGGGGTGAAACACTGCTGCCACCTTTTCAGGAAGTAGTCCTGCCCTAAGGTAGTTGTATGAAGGCAAACAGTCGAAAATTCTAGAACAATCTGGAAAGTATTTTCTTTTCTTTGAGCTACATCATAACCATGATCACCATCTAATAGTCTGTGTGCAAAAGAAAAAAATGACTTTTAAGTTCTATTAGCCATGTTGTTGTTTTTTACCATGTTCATCATTACACAAAATTATATATACTTGTATATGCATATGCTTATATACATTTTGTACTCACCATACATTTGGTATACGCCCCTCTAGTTATAATTCATTTCACAATTGTTGTTGACACTTGCCATGGAGTCAATGGCTTCTCATGCCAACTTTACCCCTAACACAATGAATTGTCTCATGCTCTTGTGCCATCTTTTCTGTATTTGAATCCATTGTTGTGATTATTGTAACAACCTATCTCCTTGATGGTTACCCCCATGTTGGCTGACCCTCCAGTTTACCAAAGTTGAAATAAATATCTCACAATAAAACTTAAAAATTTAAAATATAAAAAAACCGTATGTGTGACATTTAGATTTTGGAACAGGAGAAGTAAACATTCGCTGGGTGAAGAACTGGGTGATAACTGGAGTCTAGGTCTCTGGGTCATCTTTCTCTACATTGTCCTGGCCTTTATGAGCCCTGGATGTTGTGTCTCCTAAGTCTTCCCTTGCCTAGATCTCAAGCTTTAAAATATTTCTTGATTTCCTGTCCTAATGTAGTTCAAGCAAACAGGATAGTATCCAAGGTTCTCACCCAAGCTATCCAAGCACACACTGTTTCCCTGTGAGTCCAGAGAGATGCCAGAGGAGGCACCGTTCCTAAATTAGCCCATGCCTTGATCCTTGTGTCGCTCTCCCTCAAGAAGAACATGCACACACACACACACACACACACACAGCACACACAGAGAATAGTCCATCCTCTCCTTTTGGTCCACACTGGACCACAGTCAGATGGCAGACTGAAGGCTCATGGGGTTATTTGTTGTTCAGTACCATCAAGTCAATTCTGACCCATAACGACCCTGTATATGTTCCTGTGCACAGGTTTGCTATGAGTCAGAACCAGCTCAATGGCATCACCACCACCAACATGGAGGTATTATTTTTTATTTCCTTAATGACAAATGACATTGATCATCTTTTAATGTGCTGCTGACCCACCACTGTTATATTTTCTTTGGGATGTGTCTATTCATATCTTTTGCCTAAATCTTTGTGGGCTGGGTTTTTTGTTGGTTTATTTGTTAAAAAAAATTTTTTTTTTTTACATTCTTGATTGTTGCTAGGTGTCTCCATAGCCACATACCCTTTGTACAACAGAATGAAACACTGCCCAGGCCTAGGCCATCTGCACAATCTTTGCTCGAGGTGACCCATTGTTGTAGCCTTTATCAGTCCAATCTCACTGAAGGTCTTTTTCTTTTTTGCTGAACCTCTGAGTTACAAAGCATGGTTCCTCCTGAGAAAACATCCTAAGGATATGAAAAGTCTTTACATCCTTGCTTCTAAGCAGTATTCTGGCTGTATTTCTTACAATATAGTTGGTTTGTTTTTGGGAAATCCATGGCATAGTCAATATTCTTTGCCAACACCATAATTCAAAGGCATACACTCTTCTTTGGTCTTCCTTATTCATTGTTGAGCTTTCACATGCATATGAGGTAATTGAAATTACTGTGATTTGTGTGATGGGCATCTAACTCCTCGAAGTAACATCTTTCTTTTCCAACACTTTAAGAGTTCATTTGCAGCAGATTTGCAATATGTTGTTTGAGTTCTTGATTGCTGCTTCCATGAGTGTTGATTGTGGATCCAAGTAAAATTCTTAATGTGGAAAAAAAATTATAATCCTGTTTATTATATACGGGTAACTTTTTTATTTCCTGAAGTAAAGACATTATGATCTCTCTCTTTTTCTTTGGTTACTTCCTGAAGTGAGTAAAGAATTTATGGTCACTTTCTTTTTATTTAAACCACTTCCTGGAGTAAGGAATTTATGATAACTTTCTTTTTCCTTAAACTACTTCCTGGAGCAAAGACTGACCTCTCTCTTCTTTTCCTAAAGTAGGAATGTGCGCCTTAAGAAATTGAACTAGCCAACCGAGTAAGGGAATAGATTGTGCAGTCAAAACCCTAGCCAATAGGGTGAGACACAGCGTTGAGACTCACATCAGGGATTAAAAACCCGAGTGGACTGCCCACTCCGTGTGCTCACTGGCCTGTTCATGTATGTACAGCTATGCGCAAGCACCCTCTTGCAGGAGTAAATTTTACTTTGCCAAGGTAATTTAGTCTCACCGAGTGTCTTTTATGCAACATAGGGATTCATTTCTAACACTTAACAATTTCAATCTTTTCTCCATTTATTATGATATTGCTTGTTGGTCCAGTTGGTAGGATTTCTGTTTTCTGAAAACAAAACAAAAATCCATGCTGAAATTTGTCGTTTTTGATCATCATCACTACGTGCTTCAAATCCTCTTCACTTTGAGTAAGCAAGGTCATGTCATCTGCATATCATAGGTTATTAATAAGGAGTTTTCCTCCATCTGTGATGTCACATTTTTCTTCATATAGGTCAGCTTCTTGAATTATTTGCTTAGCATTAAATTGAAGATATATGGTAAAAAGATGTACTTTTCCTGAGTCTAACCACACAGCATCCCCTTGTTCTGTTTAAACAGTCCAAAAGAGCCAAAAATACTACCTAAAGTACATCTCACCTGAATTTAGAGATTATAGATTTGACACATTGCACACTACTGATGGAAGACCAGATGAGTTGCGGGATGACATCAAGAACATCATACATGAAGAAAGCAAAAGGTTATTAAAAGTACAGGGCAAAAAGAAAAGACCAAAGTGAACGTCAGAGGAGACTGAAATTCTCTCTTGAATATAGTAGAGTAGCTGAACTAAATGAAAGAAGTGAAGAAGTAAGAGAGCTGAACAGAAGATTTCAAAGGGCAGCTCAAGAAGATAAAATAAAGTAGTATCATGAAATGCGCAAAGACCTGGAGTTAGAAACCTGAAAGGGAAGAACATAGTCAGCATTTCTCAAGCTGAAAGAACTGAAGAAAAACTTCAAGGCTTACTTGACTTGCAATATTGATGACAGTGAGTTTGGATTTGTTTGTTCATATTTTAATGGGAAAGAATTTTTGAATGATGCAGGAAACAGCAAAAGGAGATGAAAAGAACACACAGCCAATGTACCAAAAAGAAGTGGCCAATGTTCAACATTTCAAAAAGTATCATATGACCAAGCAGTACTGAAGGCATTGGAGAAAAACAAGGCTTCATGAATTGACAGAATCCCAATTGAAATGTCTCACCAAATTGATGCAGCACAGGAGGTATTCACTTGTCTGTACCAAGAGATTTGGAAGACAGTTAGTTACCTGGCCAACCAACTGAAAAGGTCCATATTTGTGCTCATTACAAATAAAGATGATGGAATGTGTTGCAGACCGTTCAGACCCATTCAGGAGTTCGAGGCCCTGTGGGCCCAAGTGTTGCAGACCATACAGGCCGCAGGATCTGAGGAACAGACTCTAGCCACCTAGCAGACATAGCAAGCTGTTTTTCATCTTAGTGTTCAGCTAGGTTTATTATTAATTACATACATGGAGCCCTGATATCCACAGATAAATGTAATATTTTCCTAAAGCCGAGACTGTAAAGGTTTCAAAGGTAAAGCTTTTCTCCAAAGGACTGACTAAAAATAGTCTTGCTACTTCCCGGTTCTTTGTTCTATAGACAAAAGGACATCCTCCCTAAACTCTCCCAGGTGCAGCCCATTCACCTAGGCTCTTGTGTCTTCCTGCAAACCTGGCTCAGGAAGCCAACACAGAGGGACTCCTCCCAAGCCTTTTGACCTTCCTTCTCACCTTCCCCCAACTGAGCTCAGGTGCTATAGATATGTTAATTGAGCCTGAGAAACCAAGTTGCGGGCCTGGAATTCGAACCTGCGAAGTATGATGTAAAGTTGCCTGAATGTCTGGAAAATTACGTATGTTTGCTGTTCCTTGTCTTAGTCCCTCCCAGCTTGGTGTAAGGCTCCTCCCCTAAATAAAACGGAGGCGCAGAACGAATCCAGGTGCATTACGACTGGCAAGGCATGCATTACAGCATGCAGGGGCTCAGTCCAGCATTGCAACCATACTGCCTGTTTAGCCAAAATGTTTACTATGCAGGATATTACGGCCTTCATGGCTTAGATGTTTGCAATGCAGGATCTGCCTGATGCCAGTCCCGCATCCACTATGGTTTTGGGGTGTCTCTTTGTCTCTCTTGTTGTGTCTCTGTGTCTCTTTTGCTATCCCTATCGCCACCAGATAGCCCCTCCTCATGAACCAAACACTCGTGTCGAGGCAGGTCCCTGACAGGAATGCAGAAATCATTGAACAATATAACTTAGATCGCACATAAGTAAAATTTTACAGAAGATATTCAAAAAATTATTGCAGCAACGCATTGACGGGGAGCTTCCAGAAGCTCAAGTTTGATTCAGAAAAGAATGTGGAATGGATTTCAGGTGGATCTTGGCTGAAAGCAGAGAAATCTAGAAAGATGTTTACTTGTGTTTTATTGGCTATGCAAAAGCTTTTGGTTGTGTGGATCTTTACAAAGTACAGACAGCATTGTAAAATATGGGAATTCTAGAACACTTCATTGTGCTCATGCAGAACCTATATATAGACCAAGAGGCAGCTGTTCCAACAGAACAAAGGGATTGTGTGTAGTTTCCAATCAGAAAAGGTATGTGTCAGGGTGGGATCCTTTCACCATGCTCATTCAATCTGTCTGCTGAGAAAATAATCCAAAAAGCTAAACTGTATGAAGAAGAACACAGCATGAAGATTGGAAGAAGGCTCATGAGTAACCTGAAATATGAAGGTGACACAAACTTGCTTGCCGAAAGTGAAGGACTTGAAGTAGTTACTGAAGAAGATCCAAGAATTAGTCTGCAGTATGGATTACAGCTCAATGTAAAGGAAGTAAAATCCTCACAACTGGATCAATTAGGAAAGATTAAAGTTGTCAAGGACTTCATTTTACTTGGATCCATAATAAATGCTTATGAAAGCATCAGACAAGAAATCAAGCAATATATTGCATTGGGCAAAGCTGCTGCAAAAGACTTCTTTAAAGAGTAAAGATGTTTTGAGAACTAAGGTGCTCCTAATCTAACCCAAGATATTTTCAATAGCTTCACGTGCATGTGAAAGCTGGACAGTGAATAAGGAAGACTGAAAAATCAATGCATTTGAATCATGGTGTTGGTGAAGAATAACTGGACTGTCAAAAGAACAAACAAATCTATCTGTACATCCAGCACAGCCAGAATGCACCTTAGAACTGATGATGGTGAGACTTAGTCTCACATACTTTGGACATGTTGTCAGGAGGGACCAATCCCTGAAGACCAATCCCTGAAGACCAATCCCTGAAGACCAATCACTGAAGACCAATCCCTGAAGACCAATCCCTGAAGACCAATCCCTGAAGACCAATCCCTGAAGACCAATCCCTTGGTAAAGCAGAGGGTCAGAGAAAAAGAAACCCCTCAACAAGCTGAGACGATACAGAAGGAAGGAAGTGGGCACTCAGACCAGATCAGACTCTACCAATCGTGGCTTTGGGACACACAATGACGTTCTCTGTGTGTCAGTTCTGTCTCATACAGGTCAGGATGAACAGATACTGGTTGCACTCTCAGGACATCTCCCCTGGGTTGTCTCAAAATGGGAATGAGATGTGGGTCTATGGAATGTTACAGAGCTACACAGATACGTCTGATTAGGTGGCACCTCAGACAAATCCACTGTAAAGTCACCAGGGAGGTGAAGCGTATTTCTGAAAGCTGTTCCACTCTGCCTGAGAGCTCCTCTGTGACTTTGGTCTTGACCATATCTCTGTGGCTCAGAGCTACTGGCCAGAACAGTACAGGACCACTGGGCAGTGATGACAGGATGATGCCATAGTCCTCCAGGACAGAGAAGTTGGTGTAATAAAGAAAGGAGGGGCTGCTGGGAGGATAAGTGGGTTCAGAGCAGACCACAGGGACAAGGTTGCCTTGAGCTAAGGTGGAGACTCCTGTCCCCTCAGTCCAGCATCAGGAACCCTGGCAGGGAGACAGCCTGTGCTGTGAGCATCCTTTTCAATAGGTAACTGGACTACATTTAGGCTGGTAATACTGGGGTGGTTAGTGGGTGGCAGGAAGGAGTTCAGCTTTCTTCTTCCCCCAGGTCAGGATAGGATCAAGGCACAGCATCCTCCACCCCTGGAGACGGCCTGTGCTGTGAGCATCCTTTTCAATAGGTAACTGGACTACATTTAGGCTGGTAATACTGGGGTGGTTAGTGGGTGGCAGAGAAGGAGTTCAGCTTTCTTCTTCCCCCAGGTCAGGATAGGATCAAGGCACAGCATCCTCCACCCCTGGAGCCAGGCCAGAGACAGACAGACTTCCATCTGTCTACCTCCTCAGAGTCCTCTCCCTCAGCTGCCTGTTCCACCTACAGACTCCCCAACACTCCTGAGTAACCCAAGCTGAGGCCTCACTCAGCTGAGCTTCTGTGTCTCCCAAGCAAGACCTCACTGCCATGAAGCTCATCTTCTTGGGGCTCCTTGCTGGTACGTACCCACGGCCCCTTACTCCTTCCTGTAAGGCACAGGTAATCCAGGAGCAGGGGAGAGGCAGGGCAGTTTGCAGCAGGAGGAGAGTAGAAAAATCCAGTCAGGAACAGAAGAGGTGGAGCCCTCTCTTAGAAGCTACCATAGGTGCCCATAGAATCCTTCACTATTGCAACTCAAGGCTTGAATTTCTCTTCAGTTCTTTCAGCTGGAGAAACGCTGAGTGCATTCTTCCCTTTTGGTTTTCTTTTCTAGGTCTTTGTGCATTTCATTGTAATATTTGACTTTGTCTTCTAGTGCTGCCCTTAAATTTTTCTCCTCATTTCTCCATTTCCTTTAGCATCTCTACTCTGTAGAGCAACTTTCAGAGTCTCTTCTGACATCCATTTTTGTCTTTTCCTTCTTTCAAGTTTTTAGAATGACCTTTTGCTTTCTTCCTGTATGATGTTCTTAATGTCATCCTACAACTCTTTTACTTTTTGGTCATTTTGTCTAATGCATTCAATCTGTTCTTGAGATGATCTCTAAATTCAGGTGGGATATGTTCAAGGTCATATTCTGGTTCTCCATAGACCTTTTAATCATCTTCAACTTCAGCCTGAACTTTTATATGAGCAATTGATGGTCTGTTCCACAGTCTGCCTCTGGCCTGGTTTTGACTGATGATATGGAGCTTCAGAAAGCTCTGGACTCTGGAGAACACAGTGCGTGGTCCAGAGTCGGTGAACAGTAACAAGCACCAGTTCTTGCCCTATTCAGCTGTTAGCTACCATTGACTCAGCCCATGAGTCGTTGATTCTTGGTAACCCTGTGCACAAAGGAAGAAAACTCTTTCTAGTCTTGTGCCATTCCCAGGATGGATTTTAGAAGTGACTGTTTTTGACTCATCAAGTTTTTATTGGTTGATTTGTGGAAATAGATCACCAGGCCTTTCTTCCTACTCCCTCTTAGTCTGCAAGCTCCACTGACACCTGTTCAGCATCACACAAGCCTCCACTGACAGATGGGTGGTGGCTGTGAAGGAGGTACATTGGCTGGAAATCAGGCCAGGGTCTCCCCTACCTCTCCTTGTTACACAGATATCATTGGGGTGATGATCACACAGAGGAGAGTGGGGTGAGGTGTGGGGCAGACGGGAGATGCTTCTAGGGCTTCCTGGCCAGTCAAGACAGGAGTACGCATTATTGCTGGTACTGAAGCAGCCTTCCTCCCCCGTTCCTCCAGAGATGACTTACTAAAGCAAAGCAGGCTCATATCAGCAAATCCAGAGATGGTACAGAGTAGAGGAAACAGGTATCACTCCCGCTTATCTCTCGGGGATAACATATGGCTAGCACTTCATTTGGATTCACCTCCCAGTGCTTTCATACACTCTGGTAGTGTAGTGGTTACAAGACAGACTGCTAATCTCAAGGTCAGTAGTTTGAAACTACCAGCTGTTCCACGGGAGAAACTACCAGCTGCTCTCGTAATGATTTACAGCCTCGGGAACCCTGTACAGGGTCACTGTGAGTCAGAACCAACTCCATGGCACATAACCACCTCCATCCCAGTGCTCTGGCTCACTCTCTCTGGTGTGGCATTGCAGGGAAACGTGCTGGACTGCAAGTTCGGTTTGAATTGCAAGGACAGCAGTTGTTGTTAAGTGCCATCGAGTTGGTTCCGACTCATAGGGACCCTGTATAACAATATGGTTTCCAAGGATAACATCTGCATATGGAGTCCTTGTGTGGCACTGCAGAATAATGGTTTTGAACATCAAAGTCAGTGGTTCAAACCCACCAGCTGCTTCTCACCCTCAGAAACCCTGTACAGGGTTACTCTGAGTCGGAATCAACTCCATGGCACTTAACAACTATATATATATATATATGAGCTCTGTTAGCACAGTGGTTATGAATCAGGTCGACTTAGGTCAGCAGTTCGAAACTACCAGCGGTTCCGTGGGAGAAAGAGGCAGCTTTCTGCTCCCGTAAAGATTTACAGCCTCGAAAACTCTGTACGGGGTCGCTATGGGTCAGAATCGACTCAACAGCACTTAACAACAACAATATATGTATATACATATGAATACATATATTGTTGTTGTTAAGTGTTATTGAGTCCGTTCTGACTCATAGCTATCCTGTATAGAGTTTCCAAGAAGTGGCTGGTGGGTTTGAACAGCTAACTTTTGTGTTTAGCAGTCTAGTGCTAACCCTATAACACCACACCAGGAATCCAACACACCAGTATTCCAAGAAGGAGCTGGTAGATTTGAACCACTGACCTTGCAGTTCAAACTGACCTTTCAGTCCAGTGCTTATCCTGCAATGCCACATCAGGATTCGTATATATACATATATAGAAAGAGTTCTGGTGTGGCAGTGTGGGCTAATGTGCTGGACTGCAAATTCAGTTTAAACCACAAGGTTGGTGGCTCAAGCTCACCAACCATTCCTGGGAAGTCCTATACTGCGTCACTGTGGGTCAGAACCGACTTGATGGCACTTAACAACAACATATATTATATTTGGAAGCAGAAACCCTCATCTTTGTCTTGCAATGCAGCAGTGGGTTTGAACCTTATGGTTAACAGTCCAGTGCTTATCCTACAGAGCCACCACACATCCAGTGCTCTTTTTACAATTTACTTAAAGATATGTCATCCATCTTTCCTGGGTTATTTAACATTCTTTATAAATAAAAAGTCTCTGTACCAAGAGGAAATGGTTAATGTTCAACCATTTCAAGAGGTAGCATATGATCAAGAGCCAGTGATACTGAAGGAAGAAGTCCCAGGTGCATTGAAGGAATTGGCAGAGAACAAGGCACCAGGAATTGATGGAATAAACAGGGAAATCTTTCAAGAAAGTGAGGCGGCACTGGAGGCACTCACTCATATATACCAAGAAATTTGGAAGACAACTATCTGGCCAATTGATTGGAAGAGATCCCTATTTGTGCCCATTCCAAAGAGAGGTGACCCAACAGAACACAGAAATCATCAGATAATATCTCTGATATCCCATACGTGTAAAGTTTTACTGAAGGTATTATAAAAATGGCTGCAACCATACATTGTCAGAGAGCTTTCAGAGGTTCAAGCCAGATTCAAAAGAGGACGTGGAACAAGGGATATCATTGCTGGCCTCAGAGGGATTTTGGCTGAAAGCAGAGAATACCAGAAAGATGATTCCATGCTTTATTGACTATGCAAAGGCCTTCAATTGTGTGGATCATGACAAGCTATGGACAACATTGTGAAGTATGAGTATTCCAGAACACTGAATTGTGCTCATGAGGAACTTGTAAATAGACCAAGAGGCAGTTGTTTGAACAGACCATGGAAGCACTGACTGGTTTAAAATTAGGAAAGTTGTGCAACAGGGTTGTTTTCTTTCACCATACTTATTCAACCTGTATGCTGAGCAAATAATACGAGAAGCTGGGTTATATGAAGAAAAACGTGGCATCAAGATTGGAGGAAGACTCATTAACAATCTATGATATGCAGATGATACAACCTTGCTTGCTGAAAGTGAAGAGGACTTAAAATATTTACTGATGAAGATCAAAGACCATACATAGCCTTCAGTATAGATTGCATCTCAATGTAAAGAAAACAAAAATCCTCACTATTGGACCAATAAAAACAGCATTCTTATCAATGGAGAAAGATTGAAATTGTCAAAGATATCATTTTTCTTGGATCAACCATCAACATTCATGGAAGCAGCAGCCAAAAAATCATACGACATATTGCATTGGGCAAATCTCCTGCACAAGACCTTTTTTTTAAAGTGTTGAAGAGCAAAGATGCCTGACCCAAGCCATGGTATCTTCAATAACCTCATATCCATGTAAAAGTTGGACAGTGAATAAGGAAGATTGTAGAAGAATTGATGCATTTGAGTTATGGTGTTGGAGGAGAATATCGAAAGTACCATAGGCTGCCAAAAGAACCAACAGATCTGTTTTGGAAGAAGTACAACCAGAGTGCTCCTTGGAGGCAAGGATGACCACACTTCGTCTCTCATACTTCTGACATATTGTCAGGAGGGACCAGTCGCTGGAGAAGGATACCATGTCTGGTAAGGTGGAGGGTCAGAGAGAAAGAGGAAGACCCCCAGCAAGATGGATTGGCAAAGTGGCAGCATCAATGGGCTCAAGCATGGCAACAATTGTGAGGTTGGCCCAGGATTGGTCAGTGTTTCTGTTGTGCATGGGGTCACTATGTGTCGGTACCAACTCAATGGCACCCAACAACAACACCAACAACAAATAAATAAAATGTTCATATATATGACGTTTCATGTGTTCATGTCCTTTCCAACATTGTTGCATGAGATCTGTTTCCAATGGCCACCTACAATACCTACTGCTCTAGTATGCATTGTTAAGATAATCTTTGTGACCCTGAGATCCTTTCTTTAGAATAGGTCTTAAGACTGGAATTGTTAGGTTGCAGGTGAAGAACCATGGACAGTTCCCGAGCGTCTTCCTAAAGTGCTTTTGAAGAAGGATGAGTAGAATCATGACATTCCTGTTATCAGTGGCTGAGTCTGCCTCCTACTCTTTCTTGGATTGAATATTATTGATTTTAAGGAAAAATTATTATTGAAAATATTAGATAAAGTGTTATGCTGCTTTAATTTACATTTTTATTATAACAAATGTTGATGTTTCTCGGCCAATTGATTACTTCTTCAAAAGAGGTCATATTCTTTTCCCATTAGGAAGTTGTCAATTGTCTTATTTGCTCTAAGGGTGTTTTGTTGTTGTTAAGTGCTGTCAAGTCAGTTCCAACTCATAGCGACCCTGTGTAGGGTTTCCAAGGAGCAGCTGGTGGATTTGAACCACCACCTTGCATTTCTAATCGGCTTTGCGGTCTAGGGTCTAGTGCTTATCATACAGCGCCACACCAGGACTCATCTTAAAAATATTCATTATTTTCTCAGGCACGTTTTTCTCTGCTAACTCATTGGTGCAGAAGGAAGACCCTGCACCCTACTTGGTGTACCTCAAGTCTAACTTCAACCCCTGTGTGGGGGTCCTCATCAAGAAAGACTGGGTACTGGCTCCTGCCCACTGCTACTTACCGTGAGTGGTGGCACCCCAGCCCCAAGTGGCTACTGCTCCTTCTACTTCAGTGGTCCTCAAACAAGCTAGTTTCCCAGGGGGCATTGGGCAATGTTGAAAGATAGTGTTTTGGGTTGTCACATTCACTGGGAGGTGGGGATGGTACTTCTGGATAGTGGAGCCAGGGTGGGCATGGGTGCCCACACAGAGAACCATCCCCTCACACCCCAGCAGTGCCCTCGATGTTGGGTACCCTGTTCTACCCCCATGCTTCCTTGTCCCCCATGAGTGTTCTCCAGGTTTGTTATTGGTGGTATAACTGCATGGGATCTGGTAGGGTCCCTGTAGAAAGCTAACAATGTCCCCAATTGGATGAACTAAGAAGTGTCAAATGAGGAAACTTTTGACAAAGGTGTGGCTGAGTTACTGGGCACAAAGAAGAGAGCAGTGCCCAGGACAACGTTGGGAAGATGAAGTTATCACCCTAAAGCTAGAGGAGCAAGACCGTGTGGCTCCAGGAAGAGAAAGGCCTAGCAATGTACCCTGTACTCAGGAGACCCCATCTGCAGTCACCATGCACTCAAGGGTCCCCATATGAAGCACCCTGAGCCTAGGGACCACATATGCAGCCACCCTGCCCTCAGAGACTCAGCTACAACCACCCTGCACTCAGGAACCCCAGCTGTGGCCACCCTGCAGGAAGCTGGATGGCTAGGAAAATGAAGACTCTAGCCTCTCTCCCCTGCTGCTGCTGCCCGTGGGCCACCCCCAGTGAGAACCCAGCCCACTACTGGGTCCCATAAGTCACCTGGAAGGGTGGAGTCAAGGTGTGCAAGGCTCTGTAGAGGACCCTGGTCACTTGTCCTCCCCCAGGGACAGACCAGCCATGAGAAAAGGGAGACACTGTCACTGCCCTAGAGCTCAGGCTAATGGCTCCACCACCCAGCGTGCCATCTGTAAAATGGGAACATAAACAGCATCCACCCCACAGGCTCCCTGTGAGTGCTGGCTGACATGGCCAGATAAAGGACTTGGTATGGCTCCTGGCACATTCGATCCCTTCTCTCTCCAGAAACCTGAGGGTCTACCTGGGTAACTTAAAGTCCAGAGTCCGAGATGGGACGGAGCAGATCATCAGCCCCGTCCAGATCGTGCGCTACTGGAACTACAACCACACCAACCCCCAGGATGACCTCATGCTCATCAAACTAGCCAAGCCGGCCATCTTCAACCAGAAGGTCCAGCCCCTGGCCCTGGCCACCAGCAATGTGCGTCCAGGCACCGTGTGTCTGCTCTCCGGGCTTGACTGGAGCTATGACAACAGTGGTGAGTGGCCATAGGGTGCTGGGACTGAGGGCCACACATCCATCACAGAGCACTGCCCAACAGCCTGAGAGCCCCGCCGTCTGCCCCTTGGTCCCTGGCTGGGAGTGAAGCCACTGAGAGCAGGAACTCTCTGCTTTCTGCTTTCCCCATCCTCCACTGCACCCCACAAATGTGCATGGCCACTTCCCCTTGTTCCTTGTCCCTTGCTTTCTTTGCACACAGAGGAGATCCGAGAGGCTGGGGCGGTGGGAATGGGCTCTGTGACAGCTCTGAGCTGGCATCTCCCTGGTCCTGTCCCCTCAGGCAGACACCCTGACCTGCGGCAGAACCTGGAGGCCCCAGTGATGACAGACAAGGACTGCCAGAAAACAGATCAAGGAAAAAGTCACCGGAACTCCCTATGCATGAAGTTTGTGAAAGCATTCACCCGCATTTTTGGGGTAATCTTTTCTCTAAACTCAGCTTTAATGGGCTTGTACGTTTGCTTAACTACTTCATAACGAGGTAGCAGAACAAATGTGCACGCAGAAAGCCTTCATCTGTAACTTCCAAAGCTCTGACAGGCTGCCTGAGCCCGTTGCTCTCTTCCTGTGGAACTGAACCAACAGTCATTCAACTGCTGGGGGTGTTGGGTGCTGCCAAGTCCATTCTGACTCAGAGTGACCCCATGTGACTCAGCAGGACAGTCCATCCTCACAGCAAATGGAAAGCTGGGTGTTGAGTCAAACTGTCAAACACGTCACAGCCTGCAAGGGCTCTCACGAGCTAGGCTGCGTGTGTGTTTGATCTCTGAGCAATGCGGACCATGCTGCTGTTTCAGGCCCTTCTGAGCCTTCTGTGGGTGGTGTGCCGCGTGTTTCAGCCCAAGCAGACTGGTTTGCACGCAGCTTGGCAGGAAGGACGGCAATGGCCATGCCTGAAGTCTTCCAGCTTCCCTGTCCCCAGTCCCTACCTCTGGCCTTGTCCTCTCTCCAGTTATGCTTGCTGTAGTATGTCCCAGGTCACTGGATGCAGAGTGGGTGTGACAGGGCTTGTAGGTGGGTTCCCACTGTCCAGTTAGTACCCCATTGTTATTGTTGTTGTTAAGTGCCGTCGAGTTGGTTCCGACTCATAGCAACCCTGTATAGGGTTTCCAAGGATTGGCTGGTGAGTTTGAACCACCGACCTTGCAGTCCAAACGGGCCTTGGATCCGAGTGATTATCCTAGCGCACCATACCAGGACTCCAGTGTTCCCCATAGGAGGTGTGGGTGTGACACGCTGGCCAGCAGGTTCCCAATGTCCAGCGTCGACCCCACCCCATCCCTATGGGAGGTGCAGGTGTGACAGGGCTGACCGGCAGGTTAACACCCATCGCACATGAGCGCTTGAGAGTTCTCTGACTTCTCAAGGTCACAGCAAAGTCAGGCCAGGCCCCAGGCTGGGTGCTCTCCCTTCCCCCACCTTACTGCCCAGGACAGAACTCAGGTCAGGCTCTGACCCCTCCCCACTTGCTCTTGGCAGGAAGTGGCAGTTGCTACAGTCATCTGCAAAAACAAGCTGCAAGGAATCGAGGTCGGGCACTTCATGGGAAGCGACGTTGGCATCTACACCAACATCTACACATACGTACCCTGGATCCAGAGAGTCACCAAAGACAAGTGAGGCCCTGTTGCTGCCTCCGCCCCACCCGCACGACCGATTCCATCTACAAACTCTAAATAAATGCCCACATGGAAGGCCGCTCTTGTGTCCTCCCATCCCCACCCCTTCCTCCAGCTGGGTGAAGAGCCAGAGCTGGTGGCATTGGGGGGTGAGGGGGGAGGCAATGGATGGCCCGCCTCTACCACCCTCTCACATTCAAAGCTCTTCAGTGTGATACCAGGTGCAAGTGCTCGGTGGAATCAAACTAGCTGATCAGAGTGGGAATTCTTCCTGTCAAATTGAGAATAATCTTTAGAAGACAGAATTTATTGTTTCACTTCATCAGCCCAAGTGCTCTCAGAATTCACATTTATCTGACCCCGTCTATTATTGGGCTGCCAAACCCCAGATCAGGAGCTTTCCGGCTGTATTCCTTCCAACACAGGTTTCTTAGCTCTTCTAACACTCTGTGGTACTTACGTGCTGTGGAGTCAGAACCGACTCCACAGCACATAACCACCACCACCACACTAATAATCTCATGAACACAACAAAGAAAGCTCATTCCCAACTTGTAGTATAACCACTACAGGGGTTACGATTTACAACACACATTTTAGGGGAACAGAATTCCATCTGTAACAACTACCCAATACATTGTTCCTTGGAATTCTGCCTTCAATTCCCATTTCATTGGTTTCTTCCATGTCTTTGTGGTCTCTGTCCTCCATCCTCTAGGCAAAGGCCACTGGTGACTCCATCTTCACACAGACTGCTCCATCATTTCTGTCCTGAACAATATCTATTGTACTACTCCTCTTCTGTTTGACCTTCAGAATATCTCCAGATTATTCCCAGTTTTATAAATACCTTTGTATGAACATTCTTCTAGCAACAATTTTACATATGTCTTTAATTATTAGAGATATATTTACGATTGTATATAATTGCTTTATCAAATTATATATACTACATACTCAAAATTCATATGTATGTACCCCCTTCTAAGACTAAGACTAAGACTCAATGGGAATCCACGCTCTGATTGGTGACCACATTCATCACCGATAAGGGAAAGTGAGGGAAAAACACCAATGAAGCTGCAAGTTAAGTCCAACCACGTTCAATACACGCCTGTGAACCCAGGTGGAGACCTGATTGGCCAGCAGTATGGCAAGACCTGGGAACTCTTAAGCCCAGAGTCAGTGACAGCCACAGAGGACTAGAGTGGTGAGTGAAGTGTCAGCTGATAAGGGAGGGCATATGCATAAGAATACCCAAACTTGCAGATAATACCCACTTGACCTGGCTTCAATGATTGGATGATCAGAGCTCAACTAGAAGAAGAAAGAAGAGGAATAAAAGAGTAATCTGATACAATTTGATGGTCTTGAACTACACCTATGGATGCAGTAACTCAAAAGAGGGAACAAATCTTTACAGTGAGGATCATTCCCACGCTCTCCATACACAGAGTGGACAGGGATGGTCAACTTGGACACTGGCTACCCAAAATGGGGGGCTTCAAAGGCAAGACGTGACTGGCTTACAAGATTTCAAGAGGGAACCTAGATCCAGAGGGCATGGAGGAAGGTAGAATCTCCACTGAGTAATAGCCAATCTGTCTGGGCAGGGCTGATGAAAGGAAATGCAGATAGGTCTCTCGTGTTACAATAATGGATAATTGTTATCAGGACTGATTGTGAAGGTTGGAAATGTAAAGGTAGATGTTTTGTAGCAAAAGGAGGGGAGTGATTGACTTTGCAGTCTAGGTGCAGAGGTCCCTGGGACCATCAAGGGAGAAGAGCAGAGAGTGGAATCCTACCCAGAGAAACAGCGACGCCAGAGATGGAGGCAGAGACGATGACGTGGAGAGATGGAGTGGCTGGGGACTTTAGACTCAGAGAGGGGAAGGGGCTGTGTGCTGACGACCTGGGGCAGGCTTGCAGGGAATACCCTGTGGTTGGTTGATGATGCATGGAGGGGATTGTAACCATGGCAATGAAACGATATACAATAGGATGAATGTAAAACTAATGTTCCCCCATGTAAACTATCACATAATTCACAATAAAACATTAAAAAAAAACTCATATGCATGTGAAAGTTGGACAATGAATGAGGAAGACCATTCGTGTAAATTATGATGTTACATTAAGAATCGCTGCATTTAAATTATGATGTTGACAAAGAATACTGAAAGTACTATGGAGTCCTGGAAGAACAAAGCAATCTGCTGGAAGAAGTGCAGCCAGAGCGCCCCCTGGAGGCCAGGATGACTAAACTTCGTCTCTCATACTTCGGACATATTGTCAGGAGGGACCAGTCACTAGAGAAGGATATCATGTTTGGTAAGGTGGAGGGTCAGAGAAAAAGAGGAAGACTCCCAGTGAGAGTGGCATTCCAGTGCATACCAGCTTTAGCACTTCAAATTCCCCCTAACCTGTTCCATTCTAGAGCCCGCCCAGCAGGAAGAAGCAAAACTATGAACACCTGCGTTCACGCGCACGCATGCGCACAGGTGCCCACCCACGGGCGATCCCAGCTGCAACTCCAAGAATGCAAACTACCGGTTTCATGATCAGAATCAATTCAAGAGTACAGATTTGCCTCCAGATTTGTTTTCTTGACTAAAACACAAAGTAGCCTCACACCCATCATAGTTCGATTACATACAGAAATAAAAGGAAGTCTAGCCCCAGAAGGCAAGTCGAGGATTCTGTCCCCAAGAACAAAGAGTGATGGAAACATCAGTCTCTCTTGGGTCTGCACCTTGGCTCCCAGGCACCCCATCAGTCCCGTATTTGGAGGGTTGATTGCTCGTGTCATCCGGTTAGGAACACTCAGACATTTGAACGTCTCACAGGCTTACATCTTATATCTGGGCTCCTTGTGGTTTACTGGAGAAGCCACAAGATGCCTACCAACACCACTCACCATCAATTCTCTCAGAGGTTTGTTGTTGTGAAGTGCCGTCGAGTCAATTCCGACCCATAGCAATCCTGTATAGGGTTTCCAAGGAGCCGCTGGTGAGCTTGAACCAAACAACTGTGCAGTCTGACACATTAGTCCACAGTGCATCTCATTGGTGGGGAACCTTTTTTCTGCCAAATTGTATAACATCATTCGCGGGCCATACAAAATAATCAATTTAAAGGTTAGATTGCTATATTTGGTCAAACATTTAATTAACTCACCCTTAACGTGATGGCTGGAACTGCGGTTGCCTTGGCAGGCCAGACCAAATGATTTCAAGGGCCTTCTATGGCCCTCAGGCCCCCCACGATCCCCCACTCCAGATTTATCTCCAGCAAGGATTCACTCAACTGGAGTTCTGTCACCTATAAAAAAGCTATTAACGACTTACTAATAAGGTCAAACGAGATGGTGAACTACCTGTAAAAGTGCTTGGTGAAATGTGAAAAACAAAACTCCACTGCCATCCAGGCAATCCAGACTCATAGAGCCTCTGTAGGATGGAGTAGAACTGCTCTTTAGGGCTTCTGAGACTGCACTCTTTATGGGAACAGACTGCCTCGTCTTTCTCCCATGGAGTGACTGGTGGTTTTGAACTGTAGACCTTGCAGTTAACAGCCCAGCACATAACCCACTGGACCACCAGGGCTCCTCACACAACGTAAAGCTCAGTAACAGTTGCAAGGAGCTGCTATAACAAGTGGTCACAAGGACATCTGTGTAAAACTGGAGATAGGGTGATGAAAGCTCATCCAAGTACAATCTACCACCAAGAAGAAACATCTTCATGTTTGAAAAGAAGGCTGCAGTCAGTACCCCCACACACACAAAGGAGGGTGCCTGACTTCACACAACCCACAGCAGTACCAGTACCCGGGATGATGGCCATGTGAACACACACCCTCCCCCACCTGCACCTCCATCCACCACTCTGTGTAAGGAGAGGTGGCAAGAGAGAAAGAAGGACGCAAGTGTCCCATACGAAAGTAGATCAACTGTTGTCCTTTGGACACCAGATCCAACAGAGATGTGTCCACACAAAACTGAAAAGAAGGCTGAGAAAGTGGGTGAGAAGAAGAGGCCACTAGGAGGGACAGACAAGGCTGGCTCTTAGGGCTAGTCCCTGCATAATCACCAGTTCTCAGCGATACCACAGGCCAGCTCCTCCCTCTCCAGCTCCATTACTTTATCTACTGAAGAAAGGAGACTAGTTAATGCAGCTAATCAGTCATTGAGACAATGCTAAATGTTTACTATATGTCAGGCAGTGTATTCTGAGTGTCAGCAGTGTAGGAAGAAACAAAAGCTGTCAGTTTCTGTGTCCACGAGTGGACAATCTAGATGGTATCCTTCCAGCTCAGGCTACGGCGCATGTGTGAAAGGTCAGGTGGCTAACTGACCAGAGAGGATAAGGCTTGAGCAGTGCTCTTCTGACTACTTACCAAGAGTAACACCCAATGCCTGTCACTCTTATCCCACCCTCACACATCATGGGGGCTATTAATAGACTGAATTGTGTCCTCCAAAAAATAGGTGTCAACTTGACTAGGCCCTGACTGTCAGTGTTGTATACTGACCCTCCATTTCATGGTGTGACGTCATTACCCTATGTGTTGTCACCCTAGCCTCTCTGATACTAGGCGGCAGGATCAGAGTGGTTATGCACTAGACTGAAAAGCGGTTTGAACTGCAAGGTTGGCAGTTCCTCTGAAACCCCACACAGGGTCACTATGGGTTGGAAATTACTCGAAGGTGCTTAACAACAACAACATGTCAATGATGGGGGATCAATTTAACAGGAATAGGCTGTGTCGTAAAGCAATTTCTTTTGAGATATAAAGGAAATTAAACAAACAGTGATCAGAGGAATCTCAGAACCTCCAAGAAAGAAGAGCTAGAAGAGGACCGTGGCCTTTGGGCCCAGCAACCCAGCACTTAGAATCTCCTAGAGGCAGGGTAAGATTGATGACAAGGACTTCCACCCAGAACCGAAAAAGAGAAGGCCCTTTTTGGAGCTGGTGCCCTGAATTTGGACTTGTAGCCCCCCTAGACTGTGAGAGCCATCTACATGTGTGTTTCTGGGATGGCGCTGCTAGAGGACAAACACAGCGATCTGCTGGCCTTAGCCTGAAAGGCAAGTCTTGGGTTCAGAGAAATATCCAGAACCTATAGAGAGGTGTTTTTCTTTGTTTTATCTAGGCCACAAGTAGAAAAATGAAAAATTATTTAGTCGTCTCAAATGCTCAACATGAATGAATACGGGAAATTTCACAAAAATGATCACTGTTCCCGTTCTCTAATACTACTATCCCAGAAACACCACAAGCAGGTGGCTTTAACAAACAGAAATTTATTCTCTCACAATTCAGAGGCTTTAGAAATGCCCTTTCAGCATCGGTGAATGCCCAGCATTCCTTGGAGATGTCTAAGTCCATGTCTTGGCATCAGTCCATGTCCTGGCATCAGTCCATGTCTTGACATCAGTGTTTCCCTGGTCCTAGGAGCATCACAGGGCAGCACTCCAAGTCCAAAGGATGCACTCCACTCATGGCTCTTCTTTCTTGGTGGTCCCCACTGGTCCCTCCTCTGCTCACTTCACTTTCTTTGTATACCTCAAAAGAGATTGCTCCAGACACAACCTAACCCTGTAGATTGCATGCGGCCTCATTACTAGTTGACTAGAAGTCAGGATTTACAACATACTGAAGAACTCAGATGACATCCTGAGGACTAATAGCATCATATTAGGCTTCATCATGGAAGTGATTACTACATCCTAACTGCAGACCCACTGAGAATCACCACCCAGGCAAACTGACACATATTGGGGGGGGGGGGGCATGATTAAATTCATGACCATCACTACAACCATTGTTCCTAATCTGTGGAAAAACATAACTTGTTATGTAATGTGAAAACCAAGCACATGATTTGCTACATATAAAGAGAATAAACATCTCATGTACCAAATGCAGAGCCCACTCTTGACTCCTATGGCACTCTAAGATAACGCATGTTTGTCCTCCATCTTTTCTGAGGCCCATTCTTGGGATTAGAGCCAAGGGAGGAATGTTGTACCTTGTGAGAATGTCAGCTCCCTTTCAGAGCTATCAAAAGGATCTCGTGGATGTCCTGTGCTACCCTCTCCCCCGGGTCATGGGCCCCGACTTCTGCAGGCACCCACCAGCTTCCACAGAACTCTCTGACAAAGCTGCTTGACCCTGGGGTTGCCCAGGACCAGAATGGCTGAGTGAAGAGAAGGGGATGCGGCCATGAGCGTCTCGGAGAAGAAGACAGAGGTGAGGTCCAGGGAGGGGTACTTGGCGCTGATGGAAAAGGGACTGGCCAGGACATACACTATGTGGAGCACCAGAAAGCAGCCCAGCGATTTCAGGGCTGTGATGTGAGCCTGGGCCTGGGCATCCCGCCTGCCCGCCATGAAGACCTGCATCTTCTGGTAGTGTCTGTACAAAGAGGCCATCAGCATCCCACAGTAGAGGAGAAACACCAAGAAAGGGAGCCAACTTCCTGAATTCAGCCTCAATATATAAAAATAGTGCTGGCTTAAAAGGGGGGCTGCAATGCTGCTGTTCCCCAGCGAAGCAGAATAGGGGTTCTGGGAAACATGGGCCAAAAAAACCAATCCCATGATGAAGGAGCCCAGGAAGCACCAGAAGTTCAGGTGATAGGTTCGCTGCTTCAGCCACAGGTAGGCGGGGTGCTCAAAGGTGGTGATCTTCAGACAGTAGAAGACACTGAGGAAGGTGGTGAACCACAGGTTGACCTGGCTCACCAGGACCCAGACGAAACTGAGGCCGTAGGGCCACCTGCTACTCTGATAGAGTGGGAACAGGCAGAGGTCCAGCATGATCAGCCACTGCAGCAGAAAGCGGGAGGTGGCCAGGCCTAGGAGGATGCAGCTGTAGGGCCACTGTCTGGCTCTCCTGGCCCATTCTCCAAGACTCCAGATCACAAGGGCTCCGTTCCCAGCCAGCCCGACAAAGAACTCAGCCACAGCCACCAGCATCAGCAGGCATTGGGCCAAGGTCAGCATAGTGACAGGCGTCCTGCTGCAGGGTTGAGGGACCGTCACAGTTCTGGTAGCAACACTTGGCTCACCATGAATCCTGGTGCCAGCCTTGTCCTCTGTAACCTGCCCTCAAGCAGAGAGTGAAAGCTGTGACCAGGAGACAAGGACAGAGCTGTCACCTTCCCTCTGTATTTGCATCCACAGGGGCAAGTCCTAAGCCCAGTCACATTTTCTCAGAACAACCTTACAACCACAGACTCTCCCCACAGGGGCCAGCGCTAAAGTCCACATATGGTAATGGTGTAACATGAAAGTCCACCGCCAAAGTCCACACATGACAATAGTGTTACAAGAAAGTCCACTGCCAAATTCCACACATGGCAATGGTGTAACAAGAAAGTCCACCGCCGAAGTCCACACATGGCAATGGTGTAACAAGAAAGTCTACCGCCAAAGTCCACACATGGCAATGGCGTAAAAAGAATGAGCACATGACAACATGCTCAGTTCTTTACAGTGTCCCATGTGAATCCAAAGCCTATGAAAAGGAATTTTATTTCCATAAAAAACCATTGGACATAAAAGCATGAAAATGGAATAAACTTAGAAAATGTTATATGTATGCAGCAGCTGTTGTTGCTACTGTTAAGTGGACTCAGTTCCAACTCACAGCAACCTCATATAGGGTTTCAAGGAGTGAAACCAGTGGGTTTGAACCACTGACCTTGAGTTATTCAGTTATCCTACAGTGCCACACCAGAAATATATATATATATACATGGAGCCCTGCTGTGGCTCTGAGGGTTAATGCAAGGTTGGTTTGAACCACAAGGTCAGTGGTTCAAGCTCATCAGCTGCTCCTCAGAAACCCTATTATAGGGTCGCTATGGGTGGAAACCGACTCCACGACACTTAACAACAACAAATATATATATATACATACACTTCATTAAGAAAGTGAGAAGTAGTGGACATTTGGGGAATGAAAACAGAGAACTCCACGGTACTTAACAACAACAACAACTATTTTCTACTTCTGTTACCAGTGGAGGCAGAACGTATTGACAAAGCAAAGGGGGGTTATCTGCAGTAATGGAGAAAAATGTGATACTTTCAATGCAAACCATGGCAAACCGTCTTTGACTTCTGGAGTTATTGAAATGATGTGCTTTGCATCACTGAGAGAGCAACTGCTCTGGTGTCTGGCCTGTTTTTCATGTGCCCGTCTCATTTTATTTTTACATTAGAGAAGGAAGGATAAACGTTCTAGTGATTTTACTTAATCTTAACCAGGACCTGTTCTCCTTGTTTACAGCTCTGAGTCAAAGACCCAAGCTTATCCCCGAGAAGACAGATTGTGACCTCCTCCAGACCAGCTCCAGCAGAGCCATAGGTCTGGAGAGAGCGAGACTCAGAAAGGAAGACTACAAGAACAAACCCTGGTTCTGATTCCAAAGACCTGACACTTGGAGCCAGGTCGGCTCCCACCTGACCATCCCTGTGCATGGAAGTCTTCACCACACTTCCGGAATGCAATGACGCCACCACTAGGTGGCGCCCAGCAACACTTTTGTCCCAGCTTGTTTTCAGGTGCCCTGGAGTCCAATCTAACAACATCCCCATGCACACAGAACAACACACCACCCAGTCTTGTGCCTCCTTCACAATTGTTATATCTGAGACCATTATTGCAGCCACTGTGCCAATGTATCTCACTGAGGATCTTCCTCTTTTTCACTGACCCTCCATTTTACCAAGCATAAGGTCCTTTTCCACATCATCCCTCCCAATATTATGCCCAAAGGACATGAGGCAATGTCTTGACGTCCTCACTCTCAAGGAGCTTGGAAAGGCTATACTTTCTCCAAGACAGGTTTGTTTGTTATTTTGGCAGTCCATGGTACATTGAAGCATCTTGGCCAGCACCATGGCCAGCACCATGGTTCAAATGTGTTGATTCTTATTCAGTCTTCCTTATTTATTACCCACCTTCCACATGTATGTTGCCGTTGTTGTTATGTGCCGTGGAGTCGGTTTCAACTCATAGTGACCCTGTACAGGGTTTCCAAGGCTGTAAATCTTTACAGGAGCAGAAAGCCTCATCTTTCTCCCGCAGAACAGCAGACAGTTTCGAACTGCTGACCTTAAGGTTCACAGCCCGATTCGTAACCACTACGCTACCAGAGCTCCTTTGTTTAAGAGGCGAGTTAAAAACCATGGCTTAGGTCAGACACACTTAAGGTATGTCGCATCTGGTACCCTCTGCAAATTCTCTGTTCCTGTAAGAAGTCACATTGGTCCAGATACACAGACATGACACAGACCAGACACCTGTTTTCTTTGTCAATACACCATCTCACCTGATAAAATCACAAAACCAAACTCACTGCCGGCAAGTCAATTCCAACCCACAGTGACCCTACAGACAGAGCACACTTGCTCCAAGGTTTTCCTAGACCGTGCATCTTTACAGAGACAGACAGCCTCCTTCTTCCCAAGGAGAGCTTAGCAGCTCAATGCTTAGCTCACTGAACCATCAGCAAAGTGGAAATCACTACCATTCTGAAATAACGTGTAACAGAAGCACACACTACCAACATACAGGCTTTAGTGTTCTTCACCAGCAGTAATTTGTTACAAACCTGCACTGCACAAGTTTATTTGCACAATTTTTCTAACAGCATGTGCTCACTTTGTGTGTCTGCATCACATGTTTGTCATTCTCATCATGTGAATATGCATTTCATAGAGTATGTAGAGTGAAACATGACTTGGGTGCTCTGGAACTGTACCCACAATAGCTCCGAAGTAAGTCTGTGCACATTTTCAGCCAGGGCTCAGCTCCCTCCCCACCGCCTTATGAAGTAGGAGCTATTGCCCATGGGGTCAGCTGCAAGGACTGCCTGTCTCTTTGGTTCTGGGGTTCAGGTCTCTAGGGGGAGGCCTCAGCCAGGCCCACTGCTCTGGTGGGGAAGGTGAGAAGGGAGGTAGCACCCTCAGAGGGGAAGGGACGGGGGGGGGGGAGAGTGTGGAGGGTAAAAGCTGAACAGGGAGAGTCTGGAGCAGCTGAGCACAGCAGGTGGGAGCCTCATCCCACCACCACCCAAACCAAGTCTGGGCTGTGCTCAGAGACTTGCTTCTACAGAATGGAGAAGGAAAGTGTTGACCACATCTGAGCAGCGGCCCAGGTCAACATCCCAGTGATGAGTCAGGTTGGAAGCATGCTCTGCTCTGATGTGAAGTGAGGCAGTGTAAAGTCATGTGGTATGACATGGCATGACGGGATTGTTGTGGGGTGGCTGGTGTGGTGTGGTGTGATATGGTGTGTAGTGTCACATGGTGTGGTATGTGTGTAATGTGGCATGGTGTTACTGGTGTGGTGTCATATGATGTGGCGTAAAGTGGCATGGTGTGGTATGGAATGCTATGGTGTGATGTGGTATGATCAGTGTGTGTGGTGTGGTATGGAGCGATGTGGTGTGGCATGATATAATGTGGTGTGATCAGTGTATGGTGTGGTGTGGTGCGGTACAGTATGATCAGTGTGGTGTGGTGCAGTATAGTATGATCAGTGTGATGTCGTATGATCAGTGTGTGTGGTATGGTATGGAGTGATGTGGTGTGGCATGATATGATGTGGTGTGATCAGTGTGGTGTGGTGGGCTGTGGTATGATTGGTGTGGTGTAATCAGTGTGTGGTGTGATCAGTGTGTGGTGTGATACGATGTGGGACCCTTCACTCTGTGGCATATTCCCCTAAACCCATTCCCCCAGTGTAACCATGAGAAAACAGCACACAAACCAAACTGAGGGACGATCTGAACAACCCCTAAGTGGTAGCCTTCACAACCACAGGGTCCTGAAAACCTAGCAGAGACTCAATGCGACGTGACACCTGGGAGGACTTGGGTCAGAAAAGGGACGTAAGGAGGCAAGGTGGGAAGCCACAGCAGACTGCAGTGGGCTTGGCACAGTGACACCTGTGAGAACAGGAATGACCAGGGCCTACCATCTTTGGCAGGGCGTCATCTTTTCTACCCCTCAGTTTAGTAGGAAGTATTTGGGGCTTCCTTCTCTAGCAGCTTCCACCCCACAAAGGCTCAGGCCGTAACAGGTTGTCCCACACTGCCCCACATTAACCTCAGTTTCCACAAAACGTCCTGTGGTGATTATGTAAGATGTCACCATCAGGAGGGGTTGTTGAAGTGGGGGCGTGACATGTGGGAGCCCGCTCCAGGGTCTTTATAGCTTTTCTGTACAATATAGTAAATTAAAATGAAATGAAGTAGAAATTTTATTTTGTTAAGGTCAAATAAAACTCGGCATTTGTATGGGAATTATATTTGTAACAATCTGGGAGCTCTATTTTCACAAAAAAGCATACGTAGGATCACTCTGAGACAGGCAGTCCCGGTGACAGGTGGCCTGGACACCCGCCTACGCAGAGCAGAGTCACCAGGCCATGCCAGCCCAGCACGTAGATGGACAGCGGCTTCAGGACTAAGCTTCTGAAGAGGGGAAGTCAGGCAGCCTCTGGCAGCTGGGCCTGAAACAATCTAACTACCCCTCTGAGCGCCACCTTCCTCTCTCAGAAACGGGAGTGAAGATTTGGACCTCACAGGGTGTCTTCATTATCTAATGCTAACATAACAGAAATACCACAAGGGGGGACTTGTACCAACAGAAACGTATTCATTTGGCATTGAGTTGGCTCAAGTCCAAATTCAAGGTGCCAGCTCTAAAGGAAGCCTTTCTCTGCTGGCTCTGGTTTAGGAAGAAAGTCCTTGTCCATCTTCCCCGAGATCTGGGAAGTTCCCAGAGCAGGAAGCTGGGTCCAGAGAATGAGCTCTGCTCCCGAATCTTCTTCTTGTTAGGGCACCCTCTTTGCTCACATCTCTCTCCTTTTACTTCTTGTAAGATAAAATGTGTTTCCGCAGGACCATACCCAGAGAAGCAGAGACGCCAGAGATGGAGGCAGGAGGACATGGAGAGATGGAGCAGCTGGGGATCTGAACTCAGGGAGGGAGGGGCTGTGTGCTGGTGGCTTGGGGGCTGGCGTGCAGGTTGTACCCTTTGGTTGATTGAATAGTTATATATTCCTGAGTGCTTAGGTGTACATCAAAAAAAAAAAAAAAAAGGGGGGGGGGGGGGGGAATGGAAGAAAATGCTGTTAAATAATGATGCATGGAGGAGATTGAAATCTTTGCAATGAAACAAAATACGATAGGATGAGTGTAAAGCTGGTGTTCTCCCACGTAAACGATCACTCAATTCACAATAAAAACTTATTTAAAAAAAAGATAAAATGTGTTTCCAGTCACACCCCAGGGAAACTCCCCTTGCATGGGATCAGGGTTATGACAGGATTGAGTTGAATCCTACTTTTAATTCTCTCATAAAAAATTGGTTTATCATGTTTGGTGAAGTGGAGGGTCAAACCCACCAGATGCTCCTTGGAAACCCTATACAGTGTTGTTATGAGTTGGAACCAACTCGACTGCACTTAACAACACATACCCATACACAAGGGGCTTCAAAATGTGCATGGAAAAAAATTCATTCCACTTTTCCTTGAACGTTTGAAGCCCCCTCCTGTAACTATTTTTCTCCATCCCTTTCAGCCTTGGGTGAGTTTTCAGGCTGGAGATATCCTGTTTCTGCTTCCTGTCCTAGAAATAAAACATGATCACCACTCTTCTGCTCTTTCCACCCCTCTTGTGATAGAATGGAAAAAGAATTAGATGGTAGACTCAGAGGCTCAGAACTACTCCTTCCTAGCTTCACTGATGAGCCATGCACTTAACCTTTCGTGCCTTGATTTTCTCATCTGAATAATGGGCAGAGTAATACCTACATTACCAAAGTGAGGAACCAATGAAACCGCATGTGAGACTGCAATTCACACATATTGGGCTGTGGCCACTGGAAGGTGACGCCCCCCCATGACAGGCCACAGTGGGTGTCTCGTGGCAGTGCACTGCGTCCTGGTGGCACCCTTCCCTTACAGAGTGACTCTTCTCAGCAAAGACCCTAACTGCTCCCTCCCCTTCCTGCAGTAGCGAAGATCAGGAGATCAGGAGATGGTTCTTGAAAGCCTGTGAAGCCGCCGGGCCTTCAGGGAACAGACACAGTAAATGTTTAATTCCTGGCCAATAAGCTTCAGCAGACCCAAGACACCCTCGAAGAGTCAACCCGTCCTAAAATAAGGCCCAGGGCAAGCGCAGTATGTCCAACCCTGGTGGCAGGGAATGAAAACAACTTCAGACAACTGAGAAATGGGTCAGTAGAACTCAGCCAACACAGACAAAGAATCCAGACACACTGGAAGATTGTTCACTTGGTCCTAGTGAGAAGAAAATGGATGTTAACATCAGAACTCCTCTGAATATCCTTTAAGTACAGAAATGGATGGATGGGTGGATGGGTGGGTGGGTGGGTTGGGTGGATGGATGGAAGGAAGGAAGGAAGGATGGATGGATGGATGGATGATGGATGGATGGATGGATGAGTGGGTGGGTGACTGGGTGAGTGGATGGGTGGATGGATGGATGGGTGGATGGATGGATGGATGAGTAGTGGGTGGGTAGGTAGATGGCTTAAAAAGAGAGAGAGATAATAGATAGACTATAAATACTATATATATTTTAAAGTATGTGGGGGGTTTTTCTGATTACAAAAGAGATATATATTCATGATAGGAAACTTGAGAAGTGTTAAAAAAAAAAAAATTACTCAAAACTTCCCTCCTAGGAGTAATTGCTGTTTGCATCATTGGTATAATTGCTCCGGGGTTTTTTCTCGTGTGTGTTCCTACCAGAGCTGTCACCGCACTGCAGATGCGTGCTTTCATTTAGGGCTCATAGAGCAGCATGAGCGTTTCACCAAGTCAGTCCAGAAAATGTCCTTTGACGTAAGATTGTCAACAACTTTGACTTTGTGACAGATGTGCAGTCTCAAAGGGCAGGCAGGAGCGCTCCACAGAAGCGGTGTCAGGGACCTCTGAGCCACCCCTAGGACAGTCCCTGCATGGTCTCAGGGAGACAACAGGACACCAGCACTCCAGCCCATGGGAGGAGGGAGAAGGCAGAGGGCGGCACCCATCACCTCTGCGCACACTCCACGGACAGGACTTGATCATACAGCAGCATCTCCCAACACAGGACACTATGACGAGCGGACCAGGACTGGGCGTGGCTAGAAACCCCATGACTGGGAAAGAGAATGGATGGATGCTGGAGCCCACGAAGCTTTCTGCCTCTCACAGAGCATTTGGATCTCATGGTTGTGAATTGCATCACTTTCAGCGGGTCTCCATCTAATCGAGCTCTGGTAGCGTAGTGGATTACGAGTTGAGCTGCTAACCGCAAGGCGGCAGTTCTAATCTACCAGCTGCTCCACATGAGGAAGATGAGGCTTGCTGCTCCCATGAGGATTTACAACCTCGGAAACCCTATAGAGAGCCACTATGAGTCAGAACCGACTCCAAGGCACGTCACCACCAACCACTTAACCAAATCTCCTAGTCTTAGTGATACTTTATACTACAAAAAACTGCATTTTGTAACATAAAATATTGGTTTTGATAACACTAACTGAATATTGTCAAGATCCCAGTGACCAGAACAGGAAAAGTCAAATTATTTGTATAATTTGGAGAATTCTGGATTTTCCCTCCATCTTTTTAATAAAGAGAACATTGTTTTAACAAGCTATTTATTTTGAGATGTATAACTATTACATGAACAAAAACATGTTGTTGTTAATATTAATATTGTTGGTGTTATTAAATATTACATATTTTGTTAATATCAAACATTGTTGTTATAGTAATATTGTTGGTATTATTATACATTGTTGTTAATATTAATAAAGCTGTTGAAATTAAATAGTACATTTTTTATCAATATTGCACAATGTTGTTAATATTAATAAAGCTGTTGATATTAAATATTGCATGTTGTTAATATTATACTTTGTTGATAATTACATTGTTGTTGGTATTAGACATTACATGCCTTTGTTGTTAATATTAACATTGTTGTTAATATTAATAATGTTGCTGATATAAAATATTACACATTGTTAATATTATACTTTGTTGCTAATATTAATATTGTTGTTGTTATTAGACATACATGTTTTTGTTGTCAATATTACACATTGTTGTTACTATTAATCTTGAGGTTTGTTGATATTAAATATTACATGTTGTGGCTTAGCTGATGAGTCCTGTGTGGCTATGAACAATGACAGTCACTGGGAGCCACTTGTTGCTACTGCCATGGGAACAGCCCTCTACTTCTGCACAACAGAATGAAGCGCTGCTCATTCAGCAGCTCCTCAGAAACCCTACACTGGGTGGCTATGAGTCGGAACTTAACAACAGCAACAACACGGGCAGAGAGTGCAGTCCTAGGCAGAGCTTCATTACGGCAGCTAACAACAGAAGTGACTCCCAGAGACCACCATTGCATTGCTGGGAGCCAAACAGAACTCCTTAGCTAAGCCACCAAGTTTAACACTACAAGTCTTGCTGAATTGTATTGTATTTCAGTAGCGGATGGGACACTGTGGCAACTCTCATTACCCAGAGCTATAATGCCAGTGTAGAATGTATGCTCAGTAAAGCCTTACACAAGCTCCTTGAAGAAAGTGCCCAGTATTTAAACAAGGGAGGAGGAAGAAAAAAAAGCAGAACCAACTGAATGTCAACAGTGAAAAGGTGGGATGTTGGGGCAGCAAACTGCAAACATGCCTCAAGCCATGGGAAAGCCTACGGAAACTTAGCTCCCAAACCACAGGCGTCTCCATGAGAGACTTAAACAATTGTTTCCTATGTAAATTCCATTATTTGTGGCAACAAAGAATCTGCTTTGCTTTTGTCTTCAGTCTGAGGTGAGTGAGAATAAGGAGGACTGAGTGTCCTGGAAAGTACACGTTGTAAATCAGCACACAAACAGCTTTGGTGTTCAAGTCCGTCCCTACAGAAGCGGGGAGATAATTGATCAGCACAGAAACTGAATACGGGATATAGAGAACCAGGAAGTAAATCATCAGCTTCATGGCCCCCATGTGAGCTTCCATCTGGGGGTTCCAAAAGCCAGTGGCATTCCTCTGCATCTTCTGGATGTGTCTCTGCAAGGAATTTATTAACAAGGAAGCAGATGTCACATTGAGGATGAACTGGGGGAATGAACTCAGGAAGAATGAAACCATCAAAGATAAGATGTCTGTGTTGATGTCAAATACTGTGCCATTCCTCCTCTTGGTACCAAAATCAGGCAAGGACAGTGTCTGTCTCAGCACAATGTACAGGAGCGTGGTGAGAGCAGGGGTCAGCACGCAGGCCAGCAGCAGTCTGGGGATCTTTGGGGACAGATGACGCTTCAGGAGGAGAAACACCGAGTGTTGGAAGTTAGCGATCTTCACACAGTACAAGGTATTGAGTAATGTCACAAACCAGAGATTACAAGAGTCCAGAAACATCCAGGACAACAGGAAGAAAGTGGACAAAGAGACTGACCTTTCGACATTTAGGTCGATGAGGAAGAATGTCATGTTCAGTAGAAACAGTCCCAGCATAAGAAATCGAGAGACAGCCAAGCTGGACAGGATCTTATCGGAGGAAGAGAGGCTACGCCTGGCGAGCCAAGTCTTGTAATTCACCACGGCAATGAACAGACTTACGATGAGCCCCACAAAGTTCAAAACCACCGAGGCAATGATAACAGAGAAAAAGAAGGTCAGAGACATCCTCTCCCTCTGAAGACTCTCGGCAGTTGAGGTGCTGATGTAGGAGAAGGAGAGACGCCTTTGAAATGTGAAAATAGGAACCAGTGACCCGCCAGGAAAGAGTATCTGTGTTTAATTTTCCTCCGCATGGTGAATGAGCCATTAGGGGGCCTGGAGTCAGCTGCTTTTGCTGGAATGCAAATCTTCCAAGGATTGCATTACCATTTCTTCATTCCTGTTCTGCTTTCCTTATAAATGCCCAATTAAAGCAAGTCTGTGTGGGGTCCTGTGGGCAAATGCGCTGGACTGCAAGGTCGGATTGAACCATAAGGTCGGCAGCTCAAGCTCAGCAGCCATTCTTTCGTAACCCTATACAGGGTCACTATGAGTTGGAACCAACTCTATGGCATTTAACAACAACAACAACAAAGCAAGTCTGGGTATATCACCCAGAGCAGAGGGTTCACAGGAGGAGTCATGGGAGGCCCCAAGGACTTCAAGTCCACATGGATAGCCCTAGTCCTGCACTGCCCCTGTGCTCGTCTCCATGGCAGCTCCAGACCCTGCTGGGAATTCCATGCCTTGTTCCTAAGCACCCGCCAAGCTGTTCTCTCCCCTGGCATAGCACCGTTACAGTCACCTCCTCCAGCTGTCCTTCTGGACACTCCCAGTGGTCCCTTCATCTCTCAACACCACCGTGGTTTACAGACAGTTACATGATGTAGTTCCAGGGTCTTGCACTTCATCCAGAAAGTCTTCCCCAGTCAACCCCACCTCCCACAATGACCCCTTCACTCTACCATCCCTCAAGACTTGCCCTGTCTAATCCTTCTTCCTTCCACCATCAATTCTAGGGACATGAACATGAAAAGAGCCATCCTGCTATGTTCTCGCTTAAATGCTTAGAGAAGAAGTGTCTGCCATGCCACGTGTTTCCGCCATAGCTCTGGGTAGAGCACATGTGATCATTTCCTTTAAGCGTCAGATTCTCCATCAAAGTATTCTGGTACCAGAAGCAAAGTAGTGCTTGAGTTATGAAGCCAAATAGGCAGACATCTCATGACCTGACTTCCGTGCAATGACCCCAGGTGAAGATGTCTGGTTCCACTGAGGACCATCAGTGAGTGTAGGACCTCCAGTATTTGGATGAGACCAAGATATAATCTGGGATGCACATACCAAGGGACTTTGGAAGGTTCATGAAAGAACTCCAGTATCTTTTCATTCCTTGGTTCCACAAAGTTTTTAAAGCCCCCTCATCTAGATCATCCAACTAGCAACATGATCAAGCTTATGAAGTCCAGTTTCCAAATCCTAGCAGGAATAGACAAGAAGAAGCTAAGTAGAAAGGTCTAGAATAGGGGCATAAAAAGGCAAATGGCAGGGAGGTAAGCGTGGAGAAGGTTCCCGGAATGGAATCCAGGTGCCTACAGAAGCTTTTGACACATAACCCTGGACACTGACAGAGGCAGACTCAGATCCATTAGACAGACAGACAGACAGAGTGAGCAAATGAGGCTATGACCTAAGGGGTGTTTAAATGACAGGACCCAGGTCACGCTCCATTAAAGTTGTTGTTGCTGTTAGGTGCCATCGAGTCGGTACCAACTCATAGTGACATTATGCACAGCAGAACGAAACACTGCCTGACACTGTTGCCACGCTTAAGTCCATCAATGCTGCCACTTGGCCAATCCATCTCATTGGGGGTCTTCCTCTTTTTCTCTGACCCTCCACCTTACCAAACATGATATCCTTCTCCAGCGACTGGTCCCTCCTGACAATATGTCCAAAGGATGAGAGATGAAGTTTGGTCATCTTGGCCTCTAAGGAGCACTCTGGCTGCACTCTTCTAAAATGGATCTGTTGGTTCTTTTGGCAGCCCATGGTACTTTCAATAAATATTCTCCTTCAACACCATAACCAGTTATCAAAAGCATGAATTCTTCTATGATCTTCCTTATTCACTGTCCAGCTTTCGCATGCATATGAGGTTACTGAAAATACAATGGCTTGGGTCAGGTGCACCTTAGTCCTCAAGCTGACATCTTTGCTCTTCAACACTTTAAAAAGGTCTTGTGAAGCAGATTTACCTAATGCAATGTGTCATTTGATTTCTTGACTGCTGCTTTCCGTAAGTGTTGATAGTTGATCCAAGAATGAAGTCCTTGACAACTTCAATCTTTTCTCCATTGATAAGAATGTTGTTTATTGGTCCATTGGTGAGGATTTTTGTTTTCTTTACATTGAGTTGTAATCCATACTGTAGACTGTGCTCTTTGATCTTCATCAGTAAATGTTTTAAGTCTAGCTAAGTTGAAATATTAGAAGTGCCATCTTAAATATGATACATAAAATAGTGTAAGGAGTCCGGTAATGGTGCTATAGGATAAGCACTGGATTGCTAACCACAAGGTTTACAGCTCAAACACATCAGCCACTCCTTGAAAACCCTCTACAGGTCACTATGAGTGGGAACTGACTCAACAGCACTCAACAACATAAGAATAATAATAAATAAATATTCCAAGAGATAAGAGGTGGTGCAGTACGATGGGGTTCTCTTTATCTATGTATGACCTTTCTGGCCATTGGTTTATGATTCTGCCAATCAACTCAAAATATTTGATTGGACCTCTGACTGGTCTATTTGATGCACTTGGTCAGTTTACTATGCAAATAGATAGTACAACCACACAATAAGAATTAAAGGAGCTTGTGGAGATTGGCGGTCCAGCTGGGAGGGCCATGCTTTGAAGTTGAATATAAGGGTCGATCCTAAAGAGATTGAGGGGACCTCACAGCTATCAAGAAGATCCTAGAGCAGGACACATCCATTGGACCCATCGTCCATGTGCTGAGAACCTCCTAAACCCAGAAGAGAGCGCTGTAACAGTTACGGCAGCCTGAGATGACCAGAACTTGGAGCAGTCATGGCAGGGCCCAGTGGCAGCAGTATGAGTGGCGGGAACCAGGAGACCAGTGAAGACAACATACTGTGCTTACCAGCCCATGTAAAGAGAGTTGAGCAGGTGGAGCTAAAGAAAGGTAGCATTTTCCTAGAGCTGTTCAGAGGCCAGGAGAAGGGTGTGGTCCAGAGAAGGGTCATCAGCTGGCGCGGCCAAGAAGGAGCTAGGAACTGTCTCAGTTGGAAGCTGCCCTGATTGACAAAGTTGATCTTGTCTCTTGAGTTGTCTTCTGTCACTTCCAAGTTGCTCCTGATCCCTAATAAACCACACAATTGTGAGTGTGGTCTGTGAGTTCTCTGTAACCCAGCACTGAAGTAAAGAGTGTCGTGGGGGTGTGGCCGCTGTCAGAAATGACGGCAACACTGGAGAGTCAAGGTATATCTGACCGCATCAGAACCAGCTTTGTGGTGGTCCTGACGTTCATCTCCTCTCCTGAACATAAACAGACCCTGATGCTAGATCACCAAGGACATTCAACACTGGGCAGTAACAGACTTATCAAAGACAGACACACCAAGTTGTTGGGCTCTCAGTAGCAGAAGGTAGTGCAATTAAGACGCAATCAGTTCAACTAGCATAATAGGTGAATAAGAAGCTATTTCTGATTTAACAAAACTCCTTCTCCCTCTGCAGGAGAATTTCACCATCTGTCAAAGTTCCTAGTTCTGTTTCCCTTGGCATCTGAAAAGGGTAAGAAAACATGTGCCTGGGTGGTCAATTGCATCTGATCTGAAAGGAGCTTTGAGTGATCCATAACTATCATGGGGGACCCCGTGCTCTGGGCTTCCCCAAGAGTGACGACTCGTCTCACAGACACCACCCTTGGAAGGAAGAAGGACTAAGCAAGGAGAGTCTCAAATCACAGCACAATTCCAAGAAAGTTTCAACCAGGCTGATGGGAGAGTTCTTGAGCCCAAATCATACAGTCCCATGCCTCAGGAAGACACAGTGGCTCGACGTTGCCTGGGAGCAGCTGTGAAGGTGTCTTAGCTGCAGGAAACGTCACAGCACACGGCTGGGGTCGGATGCTCACAATCACGTGTGGCAGTGAGGCAGAGGTTGGGACCACCCAGTGGATGAAGACATGTTGCTGAGAAGAGGAACTGGGTCTAGTCCTGTGCCAGGTTACATAAACGTCTGCAGCACAACTGTGTAAACTACGATAAAGGCACGGAAGAAGCAGGATGACGTGGAAAGTTCAGTGATTGTTGGCAGCTCACCAGACCCACTTCCCTCTCAGTGACCAGCTAGCTGGGCAGTAAGAGCACATATCTGAGCAGCCCCTCAAGGCTCAGGAATCCTCCCCGGTGGGCTGCTAATATTTGGCAATATTTGTCCAGGCTGGACAGACTCTTCCACAGGAAGTCCACTTACAGACTCTGAAAATAAATTATCTGGAGCTGATAATCAGCTCAACCTGCCCAGCCCTGGAGCCAGCAATGAAGTAAATATCACGAGGCAGAAAAACTTCCCCACCCTACTAGGTCAGGTCAGCCCCGGAAAAAAATGAATTCTTGGTTTTGTCTGTAATTGACATGACTTTCTCTGGAACCCCCAGCTGCTGGTTCGGGGGGATGTTTACTCCAAAACGCATCATCAGAAAACATTGTCTCTTCAAGACAAGCTACTCCTCTTTCCCATCCCTGCTCTTCTCCTTTAACTAGGGGGGCAGAGGGGTTCGGGGAAATGAACTCCATCTCTGTGGAGGCAGAGAAGTGCCCCTGTCCTCTGCCTTGTGTCCTCAGGCTCCCAGGGAGAGGTCCTTTGTCCCCTGTTTGGTGCGTGTCCTGCCAGCATTCAAGGCTGAGTCTGTGACTGGTGAATTCTTCATTCATCTCTCTCTTGACTGGAAGCCAGCTTAGCTCCCACTTCCCACCAGCTGCAAACAGGGAGTCTTTACCCAGTCCTCCAAAGGGGAAAATCAGGACTCATTTTCCTCACCCTCTGCCCCTTCCCACTGGCCCCTGGGGCTAGAAGGAATCTGCTTCCACTGCATCATGTCCTCCTGGGCCATCAGGGGTCTCACAGATTCACAGGGTAAGTCATCCTGAGCTAGACACTTAAAGATGGCCCTTGGATAGGTCTAAGTATAGGTAGCTAATATCTACCTGCTGGGTCGTTGTGCTGAATCCTTGCAGACACCGTTGTATTTCATTCTCACACCAACACCATGAAGTGAGCGCTCTCATTATGCCTCTTGCACATTCTAGGAAGACCAAGGAAGTTGAGCAATTTGCCAAAGAGCATGAAGCCAGTAGGTGGTAAGTCAGGGTTTGAATCCAAGTACATGTTTGATTCCAGAACAAACACTCTTAGACACTTTGCTGTGCATTTTTTGAGTCCAACAAAATGTCGAAACATCAGAAAATAGTATGTATTTGTCCTCAGCAGTTGTTGGGACTTATCAAGTCGTTTGCTTTCTCAGAGCAGAACCTCTTACAGAATAGAAACATACTGTTTTGGCTTTCCTTTTCAACCATCCCAAGGCAAGAAACCCACAGACACAACATGAAGCTTGAAGACGCCCAGGGCTATTGTACAGGAAAGAGCATGGCTAGGCACTGACATTGAGAAATGTTGGTGTGTGTTGTTGTTGTTGATTTATAAGTATCCTGGGTCTAAACTGAGGTTAATGAAGTGTCCGGATCTATAAACTGACCGCAGACACAGTAAACATGAGACTCTGAGCACAGGGACCAGGATAGAAAACAAGAAGGGCTCACAAGCTGCTCTGATATGTTTGTTGTTGATTCTGTCAGAGCCCCGGTGATGTACAAAAAACACAGATGTGTTTGGAGGCAACCTGGGTCTGGAAAACCCATCCTAGCCCATAGCTGACTCCAAATCCAAGCTTATCTCCACATTTCAACGCAGCCTGCCTGGTCAAAGTGGATGAAGGCATGCCTGGTTCCTTGGAAATAATATTTCAGAGTCTTAAGGGCTTAATGGAAAGAAAAGTTCTACAAGCAAAACAATCCTTTCCAGGGCTTCACAAACCTGGGCTGGGAGGATTTGGTGTGTCTGTCCCACACCTGGGACTCAGGTCACAGTCCTGAGCTGATGTGGGGGGAGCTTCCCTGAGGTGTGACCTGCATCCCCTTTTATCTCACAAGAGGCCAAAGGAGAGAGAAGCCCAGAAAGAAGAGCCTGGGGCAGTGCGCTGGGAAGCGCCTCCACCCAGGAGATGAATGCCAAGACACATGGAGCTCTCCAGGGGACACTAGGCCCAGAGCTGTTGAAGGAGACAAGGCCCTTTCTCCAGAACCCACAGAGAAGGAAAGTCTTCGCCTAGAGCCACACTCTGAATTTAGACTCCCAGACGCCTCCACTGTGGGTGAGGAGATGTCTGTTAATAGCGCCCCCTTGTGGTATTTCAGTTACAGCTGCACTAGAGACCTAAGACAGGGTATGCTTTTGCTGTGGAGAATCTCAAAATTTTTTTTTTTTTTTTGAAGAAAAATAGAGTGGATGAAACTGGCTTCAAAAGCATGGGGTCGGGGTTGAGAGAGCAGATAGCAGTGAGACATTTGGGGTTTCTAGCCAGACCTCCCCCCATGCTGTGAGAAAGCACTGACTCAGACCCAAACCCAGAGCAAACGGAAATCCAAGGTTACAATCTTCACAGAAGCAGGCTCGTTCATCTTCCTCCCGCCACCAAGCAAGCGACTGCTGGTTTGAAACACTGATCTTTCTTGTATCATTTGATTTACTGAAACACTGATGTTTCAGTTGGCTTAGCAGCCCAGTGTTTAACCCATTTTGTAGGGAAAATAGAACTGAAAGGTAGTGGACTTTTTCCACACACTTTCTGAAGTACCTCATACCATCCCCATTCTACAAATGAGGAAAGAGAAGTAAAGAGAGGTTAAGAAAATTCCCCAGTTTCTGAAAGTTTCTTAAACATTACCAAACACCTTGAGGGACTGACTGAATTGTTGGGTCTAGAGCCATAGTCTTAGAGGACACTATGGTCAGTTGGCATACCAAACCCAAAAGGCACTGTTTCTACATCCTACATCCATGAGTAGTGTCTGGGGTCTTAAAAGCTCATGAGCGGCCATTTAAGGGGCAACTATTGGTCCCTCCCTGTCTGGAGGACAGGCGAGTAAAGAAATTTGAAGACAATTAATCCAATGGACAGGAATATCCATGTCCACAGCCTTGTGACCAGAAGCACTAGATGGTGTCTTCCCAGCACTACCAACTGCTCTGAAAGGGACCACATTAGAAGGTCCTGCATAGAGTGGGAGAAAATGTGGAACAAACCCAAAATCATAAGAAAAAGATCAAGATTACTGCTTACTGGTCAGATAAAGGCTGGTGGAACCCCAAGACAATGGCCCTTGAACACCCTCAGGTCTAGAACTGAACTCAGCCTCGTGGTTCAATTTTCAGCCAAGCTATTGATAGCTTGCTAGTTAGACAACAACACTAGTGAGGTGTACACACCATAGAATGACCAACCATGTAAGATCAAGAGGGTGGCATTTACCTAAGGGCAAAATTCCGAGGGTTTGGGAAGAAGGAGGAAGTGAGAGAAGTGATGTTGCATGGAGGGATTGTGATCATTGTAATGAAACAAGGTGTGTGAGTGTGATGTGTTGGCTGTGAAACTGATGATCTGCTTGGTAAACTTTCACTCAACTCACAATAAGAAGTTAAAAAAAAAAAAGAAATTTCCCCAAGGTCACGTAGTTCACAAGGCCAGGTCGGGATTTGAACCCAGGCTGTCTGGCTTCAGAGTCCCTGTTCTTAGCCACAGTATGTACGCCCAGTGCCCCATTAGTGCTGGAAATGCAGATTCAGAAGCGTCTTATGTCCTGAGTTCCTTCACAGACTTGAGGGTTCTCCACAGCAGTAAGCAAGAGCATCCTCATTGACTTGCCAACATTATTCAACAACGTCCAACATCGCTCAGTCAATCAGTGCCTGTACCCACTTAGTCAAAATTTTACTGCACTTCTAATAAGGAGCTCTGGTAGTGTAGTGGTTACGAATCGGGCTGTAACCTCAAGGTCAGCAGTTCGAAACTACCAGCTGTTCCGCGGGAGAAAGAGGAGGTTTTCTGCTCCTGTAAAGATTTACAGCCTCGGAAACCCTGTACAGGGTCGCTATGAGTCGGAACCCACTCCATGGCACACAACAACAACAACTGCATGGAGTCCTGGGGTGGCGCTGTGGGTTAATGCACTAGACGGCAAAGTCAGTTTGAACTGCAAGGTCAGTGGTTCAAGCTCACCAGTCGCTCCTTGGAAACCCTCTACAGGGTCACTATGGGTCAGAACCGACTCGACAGCACTTAACAACAATAACTGCACAGCATTTTTATAAAATTCTGTCTGTTAGCAACTTGCTTGGTCTTTTACCCAATCTGAAAAATAGAAATTACTTGATCATTTATTCCAGTAAGGTGAAAAAGGAACACGGATACGACTGCCAGGAACCGACTCCACCGTTGGCTGGATTGGAACCTGGAGTCCATGGGTTTGGGTTTTCACACGGCTGCTCAGTGATGACACACTGGGTTTGTGGGAGCTGCTGTCTTGTGGGGTTTCTGGTTCCTACATAATTCACTGGTAGTTACTATCCATGAGCACTTGGGACAACATACTAGATCTTATAATCCCCATGGAACTGATGAGGAAGAACCCTGGGCAGACTTCTCCAAGGCCAGACCTCTGGGATGTTCACACTCACGGCTATGAGGCTGCCAAGGTCAGCCCTTGCCCTCAAGTTTATCCCACTGTTTTGTTTGCACATGCTTACCACTGTCAGAATGAAGTTTAAGTTGAAACTGGTGATCTGTCTCATTGTGTTGAAGCGAAGGTTATGGAAACACAACCCCTTGTCTATGGAGTGAACATGGTGGGACTCTCTCCCCTTCACCAGAACACCAGCGAGGGCTGTACAAAGTGTGAGTCTCACATTGGATTGGGCCACAGGCAGAACCGAGGACAAGCCGTCTGTGTGGTCCTTTCCATGGAGGGTCAGGAGCGGCCCTGGAGCTACAGCCTGGGAAGAACTTTTAGGGTCCCTTCTGGTCCTCTGCCGCTCTGTGGGGAGAAACGAACTTGGACCCAGGCTTCAGACAGCCAGACTCACACTGGAGAAGCCCCACAAATGTCTGCCTCAGCTTGGGGTTCCCCAGAATGAGGATAAATGAGTGGCCCACAAGATAGAGCATTGCAATGATTTCTGCAGCCATGAGCACCATCGTGGTTTCTGGAAAGAAATAACTGGTCGATGCGACGGAAAAGGCCAGGAAGTAGAGCAGGAGGAGAAAGAAGAAGGAGAGGATGATTCTGATGGCCCTGTGGTGGGCCTCCGTGCTGGGGTCTCTACAGCCAGCCCCAGTGTACCGCATCCGCCGCGTGTGCCTCCCTAGGGAGAGGATGAGCAGAAGGTAAGAGACCAGAGACACCACCAAGGGAAGGAGGTACCACAGCGTCCCCAGCACATGGATCAACTTGTATTCGCCTCTCTTCCTGCTCATGCGTTCCATTTCCTTCCCTGTGACATTGATCCCGCTGAAGCCAGAGTTGACCTTAAACTCATGGAGAAGAGACAGAGTACTGCCACAAGACAAGAGCAGCGCCCCCAGCAGCAACCACGCAACCACCCTGGAGACCCTCCGCTTGAGCCAGAGGAAGATGGGATGGGAGAAACAGGCAATCTTCAGACAGTAGAGGACACCCAGGCAGGTGGTGAGCCAGATGCTCAGATGGTTTGTACATGTCCAGAAGAGATCGATCATCTTCATGAGGACCCCTGACTCGTGTTCTTTGGGATAGAACACTAGCAAAACGCCATCAACCAGGAGAACCCACAGCAGAAGGATTCTGGAGATGGCCAGGCTGGTGATGATGAAGTCACACAAAGAGATTCTCTTGTTCTTGAACCAGCCACTGCCATTGACCAATCCAATCAGACCGTTCATCAGCAGCCCCAGAATGAACTCTGCAGTGGACAGAATGAGAAACAGCCAGTCAGTGAGTCCCAGCATGTCCACTCTGGAAAGCCTGGTCCTTCTCCCTTCCATTGATGTGCACCCTCCCTGATGAAGTGGGACTGCTCTCAGAACCTGCAGCCTTCACCGTGCCTGTCCCTTGTCTCTGCTCAACTCAGTCCATCAAAGAACACTGCCGAGCAGCTCGTGACTCTTTGCAGACATCTGTCCTCTTCACAGATGGCTCATCATGGTTCCACCTGTGACCTGAAACTCAGCAGCTCTTTGCGGAAATGCAAATAGACCAGTGTCCAGTGTCACCCCGACAAGGAGAGGTGGCTCGAAAAGAAGGTAGGGCTCAGTTTCAAAAAGGAGTGGGGCTCTGAGCCTCCCGACAGAAGGAAGTGCACTCACTCACTCACAAGAACGGCAGTGTCCTGTCCCCCAGTGGGGAAGACTCAGAGATGCACAGAAAAGGGGCAGTATCAGAATCACCCTGACAGTGAAGGACGTTTCCACACATTAAGTACAAAACGTTGAGTGCCACTGGCCCTGGATTTGAATTGTAGTGCATGCCGCTTGGAGCCTGATTTAGCCACAAGGGGGCGCCAATGTCAATATCGTCAACCACATGGTCAGAAACTCTTAACGTCCTAAATATGTTCAGAAATGTCAATCATGAATTGTAGCATATAAGCTATTTGAATGTTTTGGAGCACATGACCCATGTTGATGTCAACAGGCGGACAAATCACATAAAGACACCACCAGTGTCAACCAAAGAAGGGGTGAGTGCATAAAACAGCACCTAATGTTAATCAGCACCAACAGTAACCCTTGTATCATCTTCTGTGTATGGTTAGTGGTTGGCTGCCATCGAGTCGGTTCCAACTCATAGGACTCCCAAGGCTGTCAGCCTTAGCGAGAGCAGAAAACCTCATCTTTCACCCACGGAGCTACTGACCTTAGCGGTTAGCAACTCAGCTCATACTCCACTGTGCTACCAGGAGTCCTTGTGTATCATTGTGGTCATGTAAGTATAATTCACAATCTAACTCTACACAACAGGATCATGGAAATTTACCATTATCTTTTCATTCCATTTTTTATGAGCTTTTTGAAGCTCCTTTGTATATGTGTGTGTATATAATACACATATAGAGTCCTGTTGTGGCACTGAGGATAAAGCACTGGACTGTAAGATCGGTTTGAACTGCAAGGTGCATGGTTCAAACCCACCAGCCACTCCTCAGAAACTCTATACAGGGTCGCTATGAGTTGGAACCGATTTGAAGGCACTTCACAACAACATATACACATATGCCACATACATGCATATACCACATATACCACATACACACATATACCACATACCACATACACACATATGGCACATACACTCATATACCACATACACACATACACACATATGCTACATACACACATGTACCACATACATATACCACATACACACATATACCACATACACCCATATACCACATACACACATACACACATATGCTACATACACACGTGTACCACATACATATACCACATACACACATACCACATACACACATATACCACATACACACATATACCACATACACACATAT